AAAGAACTGTTAGAAATTCTTCTACAATGGCAACTCATGATTTTGTAGAAAAGACTTCCAAAAAATTCTTTCTCAAAATTTCTATTCCTCTCACACAGTTATATACTTAATTAAGAAAAGGTTGAATTTTACACTTCTTTCCTTTTGGTTTCAGTGGGGATGCTTTCATTTTTCTGTTTCAGAGAATTCCTGAGAACATATTAAGAAGCTACAATATTACTTCCTTTTTCCCCCTTTTCAAAATGTGGCCTCTTTTCACTGATGTCAAAAGTAGAACAAAGAAAGGAACAAAGGGGTTAAAGGTAGGAAATTCCCAGCTGGAAAGATGGCACAAAGAGCTGCAGGAACCCCATGGTCCTCTGAGCACCACCAGGAGCTCCCCCCTGAACTCTAAACATGATTAACACCACCCCCACCCTTCCCTTCCAGCAACGCTTCCTTGTGTAGCCCCTCAAAGAAAGGCAGAGGTAGCTCAGTGGGCGGGACTGTATGTTTCACACACAGGAGAGCCAGGTTTCCTGAGCACTGCCCAAGGTGAACCTAGGACAGAGAGATTGGAGTAGCCCCTTTGTACCTGAGCACAGCCAGGTGTGACAACCCCTACCCAGAGAAAATGAAAGAAAAAAGTCAGGAAAACCCAATCCAGGGCTTAATCTCACAATTTAAAAAAACTATGTTTTGGGATAGAGATGTTACACAGAGGTTAAGGCGTTTACCTTGCATGCTGCCTACCCGGGTTTGATCTCTGGCACTGCTTTTGGTCCCCTATGCCCACGAGGAGCAATCTCTGAACACAGAGCCAAAAGGAAACCCTTGCACTCAGCTGACTGTGGACCCCCCAAATTACATTGTTTTACCAATTTCTCAGGAAATGTAGATTGCACTCAAAAATCAGAGAAATTCTAGTTCTCTCATTTTTCTGAATTAGTAAAGAACTTGAAACTTCTGCCTTCCCCTTCTTTAAAAATAGGCCCAGAGGTCTGCTTTTACTTTTCTTCACTTGGACCAATATTTTTGTGCCTTTCCCCCTCTGTAATTATACCAAACCCACAACCTGCAAAAGAACTGTTCTAGTTTTTTTTTTTGTAATCCAAGTTCTGAACTGTATGCTTCAGTCTCATACCATTTGCAACAAAGTTTTGACTTTGTTACTGCTAGAATTCTGCTTGATATCTTAATATAAAGATCTTTAAATTTTTTTCAAGTATTCATTCTTCTATGCTCCTTTTTTTTTTACAGCTTTCTGAACATGTTTCTGGTTTTTCTTTAGAAATCCAGTTTAGCACAAATGATACCAGGAAGTGAGGAGAAGTAGTTTGTCCTTCCTTTTGAGAAGAAATACATTTTTAAAAAATTTTTGGGTCACATCCGGCAATGCTCCTGGCTCTGCACTCAGGAATTACTCTTGGTTGTGCTCAGGGGACTATATGGGATGCTGGGAATCGAACCTGAGTTCGCCGTCTGCAAGGCAAACGCCCTACCTGCTGTGCTATCGCTCCAGTCCCAAGAAGTACACCTTTTTACCCTCCTATTGTCTTCATCCTTCACAATGCCTTTAAAATGGCTTGATATCTTTTAGTTGCTATTATTGTGGGGAGCAAATGCCCTACCCGCTGTAGGGCTACTCCAGCTGGGGCTGGAGCGATAGCACAGCGGTAGTGCGTTTGCCTTGCACACAGCCAACATGGCCGACCCAAGTTCGATTCCTCCGCCCCTCTCGGAGAGCCCGGCAAGCTACCGAGAGCATCTCTCCCGCAGGACAGAGCCTGGCAAGCCACCCGTGATGTATTCGATATGCCAAACATAGTAACAACAAAAATCTCCAGTGGGGAGGGCCTTTACCTTTACCTTATTGTGGGGAGCCACAGTCGCCCTTGAGGGGTGGCCATACAGCACCTGGCACAGACTGTCACAAGTGCAAGACATGTGCTCTACCAGGGAGCCACAAGCCAGGCATTTGTACTTATGCACTTAATTGCCACTGTTCTGGGAAGCAGAGCAAGTATAAAGAACAGATGACTCTCTTTTGGCTGTGCGGTTAATTGTCTTTGCTACTTTCTGCCTTTTCTGCCGTTGTTCTTTCTTTATTCCCCTTCTGATGAGCTTTCCCTGGAGCATGAAATGAGTTAGAAGTCACTCCTTGGGTTTCTGGATGCCCAGATGAGGGCCACAATGTCATGGATTCCACAACAGCACGTTTAAAAGTTCAGAGTCATCATTTCATAAAACTATTGAAAAAAAAAGATTTTCTTGTTTTGTTTTTCTGGGTGGCCACACCCGGTGTTGTTCAGGGCTTACTCCTGACTCTGTTCAAGGATCACTCTTTGGTGGGGTTTGGGAAACCGTATGTGATGCTGGTGACCAAACCCGGGTTGACCGCATGCAAAGCAAGCCTCTTGCCTGCTGTACTATCTCTCTGGACCCTAAAAAGAGTTTCTTTAGAAAACTCTATGTAGTGTAGTAGCATTGCTGAAAAGACAATCATGAAGAGGATTGTAAAACACATGACCTCAATAATAATAACATTCAATTAAAAAAGGGGGGGTTTGGCCAGAGGTATATAGGAGTGCTAGCACCAAACCCCAATCACTATTGGGAGTAACCCTTGTGCCCCAATTTCCCCCAAACAAACAAACAAATAAACAAAAAGAACAAACAAAACACCCCAGAAAGAAACCGTCAGATTGATTTTATATTAGTGCTGGTCAAATGTCACCTCCCTTAACTTCCTTGAAAATAGCAAGGCACTGGATGTTTGTTTGGATATGAGTATACTCTGCTTGTGTCTTGGAAATTAAAATTAAGGATGAAGCTAGATCATGTAATAGACATAGTTTTGAGACATGTGTGTGATGTCCACCACACAGATGGAGTGCATCATCTTGTAGTGGAGGCTCTGGAAGAAGAATGAATGAGGGGCTGGAGAGATAGCACAGCGGGTAGGGCTTTTGCCTTGTACGTGGCAGACCCAGGTTTGATTCCCAGCATCCCATATGGTCCCTGAGCACCTTGAACGCCTGAGCCAGGAGTATTACTAATCCACAGTAACCTCTGTGCATTGCTGGGCGTGACTCTCCTCCTCCCCCCCCCCAAAAAAAAAAACGAATGAAAATTTCAGGGAACATTTTGAATCCAGGTTGAACTAAGCATACTTGGGTCAGCTCGGTGGACAGGAAGTGGCATGGTACTCTGGTGTGACCTCCCAAAGGGCGTTCTGAAGGGTGTGCTGAGCCTGAGACTTTCAGCCTCTGCTCCCGCCCAGTGGGACTAGAACTGCCTTCCCTCCAGGCTGATGTCATTCATTAGCAGCTCCTCATCTCAGAGACACTGGGGTGGGACTCCCTCATCTGCCAGCAGCCCAGCTGTGAGGAGGGGGCGGAGTGTTTTCCTTCCCCTCAGGAAGCTAGCAATTCTTGCTGAACTCCCAGATCTCCACTCCTCCGAATTACCCCTTTTCTTTCCCATTAAGGGTTTTCCCTGGAGTCAAAGAAGATGCAAGTCTGCTGACAGTAAAATCACCAGAGGGACTGATATGAAGAGGAATTTTCTCATATAGGAGCAGACTTTTCTGTTCAGTGAGAGACCAGAACTTTCCCAAGGTGTCTTGAATGTGCCCGGAAGCTTGCGTTTGTTTCCATGATTGCCTGACAAAAGTCACTGAGTGTTTTACCAAATCCAGTTTTGCTGATTGAAAATGTACTGACTTACTGAAGCTTAGAATCATGGGCTAGGTAATACTATCTAGATTTTCAAGCAAAGCAAAGCACCCACAGCTGTTAATTTGCCAGAGTACCTGGTGTCTGAGAAAGCCTCAGCTCAAGGCTTAAAAATCAGAGATTCTTTGCTCAGCTGCTGTTTTCCTCCTCTCATTGGGGAAGAGTGAGATGGAAAGAATACTTTTTCCATTTTTAATTTTTATTTAATTTACCTATTTGATTAATTTGTTTTAGTTTTGCTCTGGGGTTACTCCTGGCTCTGAACTCAGGAATTATTCTTGGAGGTGCTCTGGGGTCCCTATAGGATGCCAGGAATCAAACCTGGGTGGGACACATGCAAGGAAAGTGCCCCCCCCCCACCTGCTGTACTATCACACTAGCCCAAGAATACTTTTTAAAATTTTTTAATTTATTTTCAGTTTTTTAGTTTCTAATGAATTAGTGTGAAGTACAGTTACAGACTTACAAACTTTTGTGCTTACGTTTCAGTCATACAATGATCGCGTTCCCATCCCTCCACCAGTACCCATTCTCTACCACCAAGGATCCCAGTATTCACCCTTCCACCATGCCCCACCCTCCAACCTCTGTGACAGGCACATTTTCTTTTACTATCTCCTTTTAGTGTTATGGTTTGTGATACAGATATTAAGTGACCATCATGCCAAGAACACTTTTTAAAACCCCAATGAAGTGCTCCATTCACTTAACACATTGCCACAATTCCATTTGCCCAAAGGATAAGTAATAGATACAAAGGAATAAAACAATGAGATCCCCCTACCCCTCTTCTGTCCTTTTCTTTCACACGGTTTAAAAAAATAAGACAAAGCTAGGTTCCAGGATCCTGGCATCTGTGTGCCAAATTGGGTACTCATCTGTAGACTTTCAGTAGTAAAGGAAACATATGGTCCATGGCCCGGTCTTTGATGAGCTTGAAGTCTGGCAGCTAAGTGCAGTGTTCAAAACCAAGATCAGAAAAGACAGGTACCAGAAGAAGCAGATTTCTTTTTTTTTTTTTTGATGAAAAAAGATTTCTTCTAAATGCCACTTGAATCGAAGCAGTGTCTTTGAGAGCTTTTGCAGAAAACATATTGAATAACATTCATGGAAATAATGATGGTGATTTCCAGATGTGAAAAAAAGATGGTTGCAAATAATCTGAAATTTATGGTGGGGTGTGAATAAAATATAAGATATTTGATCTTACATATGTTTGGAACATTTTTACTCTTTGACCAAAGCTCAGAATATATTATAAGCCTCTTATATTTTCCTCATTAGCTATGGATTACAGCCAGCAAGCAAGGAGTGAAAGCTGGGACATTCTTCTGGTCTGTGTAAGTTATCACTATTTTTTCCAATTTGTAAAATTGCAATTATGATTCAGTTTATGAAACAGTCATTGGATTTTATTCCTTTTCAGTGAAATGTGAAAGCATTAGCACATTTTGAATATTTGCTAATGAAAATAATCATCTAGATTTTTTTTCAGAAGTTCTCTCTGTACTTCCTTCCCCTGCCTTTTTCTACTCCCTTCACTTATAATAAAATGTAAGGGATGTTTTCTCTCTTTGAAATCACCCTCTAGATTTCTCTATCTCTTTTTTTTAGGGGGGGAGTTTGATTGCTTGTCATCTAGGTACACTATTTTTCTCTTGTAATAGGTATGAAGTGACTTGCTGATTGTTTCCTAGAACTATGTTACCAAATATATTATTTTGATTCACAACTTAAAAATTCTGATGTGGGCTTGGGTAGCTGCTGTAGTGGTCTAAGAGACTGGAAATTTGCGACCGGAGACAAAGGCAGCCCTTGCCTTCCCTCTCATTTCCCGACTAAATTCCAGAATTTTCCTAATTGGAAAAAGGGCTTCTCCTCCCCACAGAGGAGATGAGGGGTTGAGAGTTAATGTTAATAAAATAGTCTTAAGATGAACTTTACCTAATGAAAGTGTCAACATGTTGATTATTTTTAAGACTCCTTCATAAGAAAAAGGAATCTGTTTCAACTTTCATGGGGATTTTATTCTCAGTGAGATGTTATTTCCATCTTTTTTTTTTTAACCACCTAAAGCTGTTTCCATATTTACCTCATATGTTTTAACAAAAATCTGACTATTCTATAATAGCAGTGTGCTGAGAGCAATCACAGGTTCAAATTAATTCAGAATGGTGCTGTCTATATTCTACAGATTCAGGAATAAAAGTAGCCTTTTCAGAGCTGAAGGGCTAAATTGAACTTGGATTTGGTGATTTCAAGCTAAGACAGAGCGTCCCTTTAAAAATGACACCACCCCCCACACGCACTTTTTAAAAAAAGAGGTTTTCCCGAGTTGAGAAATAAGTGTGAGAGATGACCTCCCTTCATGTAAATGTCTTGACTTACCACCTTCATCTTACACACTTACATTTATGTTTTAACCCTCAACTGCCACAGAGGCTTGTCGAAGAAATTTCTTCTGCTCCACCACAAATTTGTCAGGCAGGATGGAGAGAAGCCAAAAACATAATTAATACTTAGTCCTACACTTACCCCCTGAAACTGCTGCAGAGCTTCATTGAAAAGGCCCAGTGTTCTGGTTTTGAACGGCAATTTTCTCCACCTATTTTGAACGGCTTCTAAGAAGGTGGTTTCTGTGTGCTCCAAAGATGCCTGTAGGTTTGCTTCGCTTCTCAGACTATTCTTTGGCTATCTCTGCATTCTGGAAGCGATGGATTAATCTTTTTCCTTTGCTTTTAATCAATTAATTATTTTGGAGGGCCATGCCTGGCAGTACTCAGGAGCTATTCCCAGCTCAGTACTCAGGGATCACTACCAGAAATCACTCAGGGTACCATGTAATGCCAGAGGTTGAACCTGGGTCTTCTGCATGCAAAGCATGTCCTCAGTCCATTGAATTGTCTCTCTGGCTTTTCTTTTTAAAAACTGTTTTTATAAATTAAAAAAAATGCCTAAGAAAAGTTTTATTTACTTAGGAGGAGAAGGGTAGAGATGACATCTGGCAGTACTCATGGCTCTGATACTCAGGGGTCACTCCTGATAGTGCTTGGGGGACCGTATACAATGCAAGGGGCAAGACATGTAAAATGCAAGGGCTTCAACCCCAGTACTTTCTCTCTGGCTCTTTTTAAAGATAAGGGTTATACTTCAAGTTAATTGATGGAAATGAACACATAGTAAAAGTTTCATCATCTGAGATACTTAAATTTGAGATCAGATTCAAATCATCCATAGTCTTAGATTTTGAAGGCCATTTTTTAAAACGTGAACTTATTCTGCAACCGAGAATTATTCATGAGTTTTCAATGAAACATTTTGTTCCCAAGTCTTACCCAGTTGCTGCTCCATTATATTGTTATTGATCAATCCATGCCCAAAGGCTAATTCCCTTAGTGGATGAATGTGTAGCTTACTCTAGTCCCAGCTATGCTATTTAGTATGTTGGTAATCTTGGACAAGTGAGTGAATCTTCCAATAAATAGTCTTTATTTTTTTTTTTGAGGGGGAGGGCTGATAGTACCTTTCTCATAGGGTGTGATAAAGATAGAATGAGGTGACTCCTATAAAGGGCACTGTGGGAGCCTTAGTACACTGAGAATAACTGATAGAAAAAAAATTTATTTTTTTCCCTCATCTATAGCCTAGATAATTTTGTCCCCTGTTATTAAAAAACAGCTTATCTAGATTTAACTTTTTTGGTTTTTTGCTTTTTGGGTCATACCTGGTGATGCACAGGGGTTACTCCTTGCTCTTCACTCAGGAATTACTCCTGGTGGTGCTTGGGGGACCATATGGGATGCTAGGAATTGAACCCGGGTCGGCCACATGCAAGGCAAACACCCTACTGGCTGTGTTATCGTTCTAGCCCCTAGATTTAACTTTTTATGCTTTTTGCTGACCATGTAGCCAGTCTCATGACAAACCATATATTAATCAGTGATGTTAAGATAACATCCAGAGGGACCAAAGAGATGGCCCAAAGACTAGCGCATATACTTTGCATGCCAGAGGCCCCGGTTTAATCCCTTATACCACATGCTTCCCTGAGCACTGCTCGGAACAGTCCCTGAACACAGAGCTGGGATCAGGCCCTACGCACTACTGAGAGTGGCTCCAAAACAAAATTAAAAATGGACTTCATCATGAATCCAGTTTTCCTTTCTGTTAGTCAGATTTATTTGTGCTTCCACTCTGCATCATACTGTAAACACAAATGGCTAAGGAACACCTCTTCTTGGCTATGAAGACAAAAGACAACCAGGAACCCTTAGAGCCAGGCGGATAATACAATAGTGGTAGAACAGATAATAACAGTGGTAGAACAGATGTTTACCATGTGTGACCTCCTGTGTTGGATTATGCTGGTCCTGGTGGGTCCCTGTGCCCTGAACTGAGCAGCCAGGCCCACAGTGAGGGGTGCTTCCTGTCTTCAACGAGAACCTTTGCAGGAGGCCCATGCATATCTGTATATAAGAAAAGATGTAATCAGGAAATATAGAAATCACTTTTCCAACTCCTTATTTTGTGATCAGAGCACAGTGACTTAGAGAAGTCAAAGGTGGAGCCCACAGTCACAGTTAGGATGGATCCTCAGCTTCCCCAACTTTTCAGCATCTGTATGCATTTACCACATAAACACAGAATCAGTGTCCAGAACCCATGAATCATTTATTTGTATTTTCAAGCAATGACTTGTGACTGCTCCTTATTAGTCTTTTCAGTTAGTACTTCTTTTTATTTTGCTTTTGTGTTTTGTTTTTGGGCCACGATGCTCAGGGTCTCCTCCTGTCCCGGTGCTCAGGGATCACTCTTGGCAGGGCTCAGGGGACTATATCGGGTACCGGGGATTGAACCTGGGTGGACTGCATGCAAGGCCCAAGCCCTGCCTGCTGTACTAATGCTCTGACCCATCTGTTGTTACTTCTTATATCTATATATTCACAAAAAATGTTTTGCTTGTAAAATGCTTTGAACAGGTCTTTCGTAAGTGTGTGTGGCATGTCTGTAGGCCAGTGTGTGGGAGTAAAAGCTAATATTTGTTAAACCTCTACTTGAAGTGTTTTTCATGTATTGTCTCATGTCATCCTTACAATGACATATGAGAAGGCATGCTTCATCCTCTCTAGAAGCAATAAAAAGTTAGGGGCCTTGTCACAGTCTCCTCCACATGTGTCAGAGTCAGGGTTCAAAATCAGTCCTTCTGGCCCGAGAACTCAGGCTTCTCATCCCATCCCCTTCTGGTCAGACTTCCCATCCTGCAAAGATATTGAAGGATGGTGTGATGAGCCCAGCTCTAATTCTGTCAACCTGGAATTTTCCGTGAGCATTAAGCGAGTCCTTCAAAGTCCATTTTTGAAACTTAACACCAGTGACATAAATGAATGGATTTGTAGGTAGGTAGTTTACGTAAGATAAAAAAAAAAGTAAAAAGGCTATAAGGCTTTTGTTTTTGAAAGTTAGGAAAGAATTCAAACCATGTAATTATTTTGTTTGGATACAGGGGATTTTGAAAGTGATTAAGTGATTAACCTGGCTTTGCTTTGCCTATTTCGAACTCAATTATAGGCTATAATGAACAGGGTCACATTTATTTAATAGGAGTGGGATTTGTTTAAACTGGGGCTCTTTTCTATGGTAAATATGATTTTCCGGGATGGTAGGCTAGTTTGAGACAGAGAAGGGTCAGAACAATGACAAATTCCTGATTTATCAGAAAGACTGGAGTTGGTGGGAGCGGTTATGGGGATCAGAATGGGCAGGGATAGGGGGGCGGGGATGACCAAGTCTCATATTGTATTGTGACTCTGAAGAATATTTCTTTCCCCCTCATTTTGGGGGATTTTGGGGACACACAGGACAGGTGCTACTGCTGGTTCTGTGCTCAGGGGTCACTCCTGGAGGTGCTCATGAGCCCAGGCAGTAAGAGGAGTCAAACCAGGATTGGCTACACGGGAAGCAAGCACCTTAACCCCTGTACTATGTCTCAGGTCCCTGAAGATTTCTCTTTCTCCTAATTCTTTCCATCAAGTGTAAAAGCTTAGGGGGCTGGAGTGGTAGCACAGAGGGCAGGGCATTTACCATTTACCTTTCACACAACCAACCCGGGTTCAATTCCCAGCATCCCATATGGTCCGCTGAACACTGCCAGGAGTAATTCCTGAGTGCATGAGCCAGGATTGTACCCCCTCTCCAAAGAAAAGCAAAAAAAAAAAAAAAAAAAAAAGCAAACACTTAAATGGTTCACTCGCATCCTTTGACAAACTTTTAACCGTTTGTTTTTAGAACTGCTTTTGATTCTCAGCAATATTGAGCAGTAGGTGTTTCCCATATTTCTCCCATGCCTGCCAATGCATCATCTCCTCTATTCTTATCCTCGGCTGGCTAACAGGTCCACTGGTTACAGTTGATAGATCTATATAAACATGTATTTACCATGCAGAGGCCACTGTTTACATTACAATGCATGCTTAGGTACAGTAATTTTTAGCAACCACAACTAAATTTGGGCTTTTGTTTAGAATCATTATAAACATGTTCTAGTGTCTGATCTTGGGGGAGCAGAAAAGCGATTTGTCTTTCTGAAGTGTGTGTCCCCCGACTAGGAGAGAGGAAAATAAATTTTCCTCAGATAAAGGCCTCATTCAGTTTCTGAGCATCTTAATGTAATTCAAGATCGGGTATAGTCCCTTCATGTGATCTATGAGCTCTTAAAATGTGTGCCAGAATCTGGTAATTATATTTCAACAAAAGAATGAGTCTTAAACACAAAAGTCATTGTGAATGAAGATTATACCCTTGTTGTCAGTCTCATAATTATATGTGTCATTCTTAATAGAGTTTTTTAGAACTAGAAGAGGATTTCAGGGATACCTTTCCTTATCTTTTATTTTTATAGAAGAGGAACTTAAAGTTACGGACTAAATAATTTTTTCTTTCTGAAAGAGATAGCTACTGAGAGCTAGAAAAAATAACCAGTTAAGATCATTAATCAAAATATGCCTTAGCATGGTTCCTACCCTTTACCTGTCCTATCTCATTTCTTCCTTAAAATCAAGTTGTACAGCATGCTTTGCTAGTATTATTGATGAGTCAACTGAGGCCGAGAGAGTAAAAAAGGCCGAGTGGTCAAGAGGTCGCATCATTGGCCGGAGATAGAGTTGGAATATAAGACCTGGTCCCACTTTGGCCACAGCTAATGACTTTACTCAGTAGAAAGCAGTAATTTTGAACCCAGGGACCTTTCTGCCTGGAGCAGAGTCTCTGATCAGCAAGACAAGTTCCTCACTCGCCTGTGAATCAGAGTTTCCAATCTCCTCTCCTGTGGCAGAAGTTGAGCAACGTAATATTTTGCAAATGGAAATGGGAGTTTAAACACTAACTCCAAAGAGGACCTTTTACTACAATGAAGTGAAAACAGATGGTGGTAAATACAGAGCCCTTGGCCTGGGTGCAGAAGCAAAGCTTTCCCCAGGCTGATGTTTGTGGAACTGCAATCTCACATCTTGCTGTGCCTCTTATTACCCTACAGGGTCATCCCTCACGAGCGGAGAGTATTAACCATACTACAGTGGCTCACGCTGCCAGACAGCGAAAGGTATTTGTTTCCCTCACCCTGACTTTCTCTCCTCAGACATCTCCATCTTAGGGCAGAATTGGGTGAAATGCTAGGAGGACAGCCATGTTTGGGTATTATGAAAGCTTCGTGATTCTCCGTCCTTAGTGTTGTTATTTTCCTAAGGATACAATGAATGTAACTTGTTTGGGTCCATTTAATCACATGGATTACTGCGCTATTAATCCTGGCCACTGCAGCAGTTTCAGACTTTGATAAGGCATTTATTAGCAGCAGCCTGAGGGGCTGGAAAGCTGTAAGACTTTCACTTTAATGACAGGTTTTACAAATATTTTGTTTTTAAAATCAAGCTGTAGATTGCTGGGCTCTTATGAATTACCACTGGACTCTATTATCTGGAGGATTCATGACCTGGGTCTTTATTCAAATTTTCTTTGAAAGCTTTTGATTCCTTTTGTTTTTCTGGGGTCTCAGTGGCCAGTCCTGGCTCTGTGCTCAGGGGTCGTTCCTTGCGGTGCTCTGGAGACCATGTGGCGCTGGGGATTGAACAAGGGTCGGCCACATGCCAGGCAAGCGCCTTACCTCCTGCACTATCTCTTTGTTCCTGATTTTTGGTTTCTGACAGTGAGATTAGGAAGTTATCATAGTGAGGATAGAATATTGAGTGGTGGACATGGAAGCAATAGAAAAACCAAATTATGAAAGCACAGTTTTCCAAGGTAAGAGCAATAGTCGCTGGGAGATTAACGGTAGATCATTTTAGAAAATGTGTTTAGAGATATTTGATGTTTTTTGTTAAGTGTGGTTTAGGGGAAGTTCTTAACCTTTCAATTTTCCTGCAGGCCTTCAGTCTATGCCTTCTATTCTGAACAGCCTGATTTCTCTGGACACAAATATGGCCCTTTTGGCCCTGAGGTTAGTAGCTTCTCATTGGCCTAAGGTGTTCTGGTGTCCTTAGGATACGTGATCTACTGACCTTATTTCTGGATTTGTACAAAGTTTCTTGGTGTGTTTGATCTGTAAGGTCTATAAGGAGTTAGTAAGTTATAAGATTAAAAACATTTAAAAAGATAAATTTACATGCTTCTTTTATAGAAACTTTATTTCAGATTCATTTGATTCTTAGATGTATCATAAACATGGAACTAACAGGAGATTATATTTCAACCCTGTGAACTGATGAATAGCAAGACAAAGGACTGGGAAAAACTGGCATTTATCATCACTGGGATGGGAAAAGAAAGGGATCTGGAGATGAAACCTGCAATGCAAGTAATTGCAGCTGAAATTCAGCTCCTTTTAAGTGGCTGTGCAGTTCAGAAGGCTGGGCCAGGAAAGTATCTCTAATAGCTTTAGCAAGTGCAATCAAATCCATCATGGATTATGGTGTTGGGCACATCTCTCTGGTAAATTCTGATACAGGCATACATATTTATGAAACCATGCCTGGGACCAGCACTATGAATGTGTGTGTGTGTATATATATATATATATATATGTATATATATATGTATATATATATATATATTTGTCTCCAACAGCAAACTCTCTGTGACTAAGAGAAATACACTGTTGAATAATAAATCTCTGTAGTAGAGCAGGAGTCAGTACTTGGAATCACTCAGAAAGCTTAGTAAGAGAAATCTGTCAATAAGGTAATGTCCGGCATCACTTCAAATTCAGGCAGTGGGCTAATTGTATTTCATGATTCTCTCCATTTGTTTAGAGGTGGAAATCTTTTCACAGTCCAGAATAGGTCACTTAAAATAAGATGGAAATTGCCTATTTATACCTTTTTCTATCTTGAGTGTTTTTTCACCTCTCCTTACTGGAGCAGTGAGATCTACATCAACAAAGTAAGACTAGGTTTTGGATAGCTGATTATTTCAAAAATGTTGCTGGAAAACACCTCCCATTTCCTAGTGATCTGTGACAACACTATTAGTTATACTTAAGTTCATTGTGTTTAGCATAAGAATGAATAGGGAATACAGATAAATGTGTCTTGATCTAAGTATTTTTGATCAAAATACAAGGTGTCTAAACCAAGACAATTAATACTAAGGTATCATAAGTATTTCTAAATGCTTACGTTAATTCAGAGCTTATTTTTGTAAGTACTGGTCACTAATGGCGATGTGAAACCATTTCCAGCTTGCCTTAAATCATTGAAGTTATATATGTCTAGTGCTCTTTTTCCAAACCCTTTGATATTTAACCAGTGTTATAGGATTATAACACAAATGATAAAATGAGATAAATATCTGCATACATGAAACACAAATCTAGTCTTGCCAAAGCAAGCAAATCTGTTTTATCTTTAGGATGACTTTCTTTGAGATTAAAATGAACAAAAGGAACTACATTTTATTTTTAAAAAATCCTTAAGCAGTTCCATGTGGTCTGTTTTAAAGGTTCAACTTACTTGAATAATAATACTGCCTAAAATCCCTGTGGCATATGCAAAACAGGGACTTGTAGAGCCCTTCTTTTAAAAGCAAGAGACTAGTACTTAGAGCTTGAGTGGTAAGTGAACTTAGAGGGAGAAGCACAGAATTTCTGACATTCAGATCAGGCTTCTTCCCATGAAACCGTTGAACTCTTCTTCTGTCCAGGAGTAAGCAAAGTGGTCAGTTAATAACTATGTTCACATCATACAGAACATTTTCTTTATGTCAAGAGTCAGAATTTTACAATGCAGATGAGGGATAACTCATAATTTTCGTTTCTTTGAAAGTTACATGGCTTAGCAATAAAATGTTCTTTATCCATAACCGTCTTTAGATTTCTGAGATGTAGTTCAGTTGTGATTACTACTTGAAAACGTATGTGAGTGTTTTAATCAAGAAATAAACTAAAATGTTTTAAGTAATCAGCGATGATGATTGAAGCATAAGAAGATACTTTAATTTGCTGGGATGATGGTTCTTTGCTTAGAGTAGTTCATAAACTTACAAATATTTTCCCCCTATAGGATTTTGACTTAAAAGATTAATTTATTCATGGTGCATTGTTTTAATATTGTTAACATTTGTAACTAGGATGTTATATCTACTGGGTAAATCGTTCTTGATTAGTGTATCTTCAATTATGGAAACTAATAACTTGGTAATTCTCTTCTGAGATGGCAAGGAATATTCTCAGATTTCAACTATTTCCCATTTGATTCTAGGAATTTTATTTTTACTAAAAGCAAATAAAACAGTTGGTACTTTTAAAACATAAATCAAAGCAAGTGAAAATCTCTCGTGTGTATATGTACACCATATGTGTATATATACATATATATACACACATATATATCTCTTTGGTCATACTTATGCACATATGTTTGTATATATATTCTTACACATGAAGACAATAGATATATATCAATTTTCTGTATTTATTGCATATGTAAAGATTATACTAGCAAAATATTTTTAATCAATAATATGATGTCTTTTGCATATACTGAGAACATAACTTGCATTTGAAGTTTGATTGAACTGATTTAATATAGCCAAATGTGTACTACAACACAAAGGAAGTTTGTTCTTTGTTCGCTTAATATTTGAGTATGCTTTTTTCAGGATGATTCTCAAAGGCTATTAAGTGAGATGACCAGAGAGTGGGCTAATAGCTTGAAGAAATGGTGTGTTGCTCCTAGTTTCATAGTGTAATTGTGAATATTCAGAAATATGCTTGCTTCTGATTATTGGCGCAATCTTTTTCTCTATGACCATCTCTGCTTTATCTGTGACCTCTCGTTCGGCTGCTCTTCTAGGCCTAGAGGCAGAGCTTTGGCTGGCTAGTTACTGCCTTCAGATGGCAAAGTATCCTTCTGAAAAGCAGGGAAATTTGCCCTTCTCCCTCCCATCCTCTTAATAACCTCAGGCTAAATCTTCTAAAGTCAGGCTAAAGAATGGCTGGTCAGTGAAAATTTAGCTTTCATCTACCTCTAACATTCGAAGAAGGAAATACATGCGATATAATCCCTGGATGAAAACTCATTGTGACTAAATCCTGTTTCTTCCGCTGCTCTTCTAACCCGCTGCTATCGGAAGGGCTCGCCTTTGGAGTTTTCGGAATGTTGAGGTCTCTTGCAAATGGCCTGGTGTCTGAATGGCAGACTTGAGTGCTAGCTGAATGTATTCAGTGACCATGAAATGGAAAACCCGTCTTTTTCCCTTTGCTTCTCTTCTGATGGAATATTGCCTAATACTAGAAGCATTAAAAAAAAAACAAATTAAAAAACTAAAGCAGAGTCTGGGGCTGTGCCTTTTAATCTCTATGCCGGAGAAAGAGGAGGAGATGGAAGTGGAAGTACCTTTGCGTTAGCTTGCTCTGGAAACAGTGAAACTGCATGGCAGATGGCCTCCTTTTGGAATACACTAACATTGTTCCTCCTCCTGCCCCTTCCTGCATCTGAATGAATCTCAGAAGACAGAGCCCCCTGGAGAGAAATCAGCTAGGGCTAGGGAGAAGACTGCAGGTCTTCTTGCTTTAATTTGACTTTGCACCATCAGCACCATCAGGAACCTTTTTTCTCCAACATTTAGAAGTCTTTGGATTCTATTCACTCATTTTATGGAGCTATGCTGCTCTCTAGATTATCAACACATGATACACATTTCTGATACTCAAAAGGGAGAAAGAGTAGAAAGAGTCTATGTAGAAAGAGTAGAAATAGTCTATGTGGGCTCCTTCTTGACCCATAAGACAAGTGAAGAGATCTGGGTGATTTTTTTATTTCACCTAATTTTCAAGAGAAATATTTAAGATATATAGTTATCTCTTGGTTTAGAGTTTCTCACTACCATAAATCTAGTTTTCCCACTAAAAATTCTTATTTGTATAGTCTGTTCATGACTAAGGGGAAAAAAATTTTTTTGCTAGTACTGCCTCCAACTTTATTAATTATTATTTATTTATTTTAATTAGTGAAGCACCATAAGGTACAGCTGTAGACTTACAAACTTTCGTGCTTGGGCTTCAGTTATACAATGATCAAGTACCCACCCCTCCACCAGTGCCCATTCTTCACCACCAATGATCCTCCCACCCCCACACCCTGTCCCCCCACCCCATCTCTGTGGCAGGGCATTCCCTTTTGCTCACTAACCAAGGAAAAATTTTTAAAGATTATTATTTGTTTCAATTTATCCTTGGTTTATAATTAATGTTTTGGTTTTTTTGTTGTTGTTGATCCTTGCTAAGGAAAGGTGACAGTTGCTTTCGTATGTTTTGTTGTGGGATCAGAAACCCATAAAATTCTGAATTGGAATCACCTACCTGAATATCATTGTCACCCTAAAATAACCGAGTATCTTGTATTCTTGGTTTTCTTTCTTTTTTTTTGGTTACTTTTGTCTTCTGTTTTTTGGGGGAGGGCCAGACCCAGCCATACTCAGGGGTTACTCCTGGCTCTGTGCTCAGCAATTACTCCTGGCAGTGCTTGGGAGACAATAGAGAATGCCTGGAATTGAATTTGGGTTGGCCTTGTGAAAAGCAAGCACTCTACTCACTGTATTATCACTCTGGCCCCATATTCTTGGTTTTCTGCTAGTCCTTTACCAATAAAAGGTTTTTCATAATCCAGGCCCCATCTCTTCCAAAGCTGGGGGTATGAAGTGTAGAACTCAGAGTCACCTGTAGGTGCATTCACAGATAAGTCCTTTGGACAAAAACAAACAAACAAACAAATAAACAAAAAAAACCCACTTGATTTGATAGCCCTAAATTAGACACTTTCTTCTTAGTGAAGAAGTTATGGACCAAGATCAATTTAGGAGTACATTAAGATCAATTTAGGAGTGTTCTTTTTCTGCAGTGCCCTGAATTGTCCCTCATCCCAATTTTTTCTCACTGAAGGAGCCTCAGTTTCCCTAACTAAGGCTCTGCTGACCCCAGATGGCAAAGTCTGAGCTTTATTATCTGACCCAGAGGGACAGACGACTTCTGAGTCCAGACATCTCTATCCGCCAGTACAGGAGAGTAGTTATGGCTCACCTCTTACTCCGGCTAAGAGACCTAAGAGGAAGGTTGCCCCTAAGAGGAGACAGGAAAGACCAGTTGCTCCTCCAAAGAAAAGAAGAAGAAAATTACATAGGATGGATCACTATACCGCGGAAAGTCGCCAGGACAAAGTAAGTTTATTCGTTGTTCCAAAGCATTGTGGCGGGCAGGTCTGAATTGAAGGTTGCCTTCAGTGCCTTGGTTTGAAAATCAGCTGAATATGTTTCCGAAAAACTCTCACGCACCCTGGTTGACTTTGGCTAGAAAAATGTGGCGCCTCAGGGGCCAACACTGATGTGAAGACCGCCTGGATCTTCTGTAAGGCAGAAAAGAAGAATCTTCCTTTCTTCAGCGTCAGTTGCCCTAACGCTTACCAAAACAAGCATGAGTGAATGTTGAGTATTGGTTTTGCTTGCACTGACTCACAGAATGAATCATAGGTTTGTAGGCTTGGATCTTGAGAATAACCAAACAGAAAAGCTGTGAAATGCTCAAGACAATATAGATTAGAACTCTATCGAAAGCAGATTAAGACTACTGATCTATACCTTTGCAATTCAAGAAGGATCTGAGGCTAGAATAGTTGAGAACAGAGGAAAGCATGAGAAAACAATGGGTAGATCAGAGTTCTATATGTTTTTTGAGGTATGAGTAATGTCTACTTTTCTCAGTACCTTCAGTATGGCTGATGGGTTATTTTCTTGCGAGTTTCAGATACTTTCCAGGCACTATCTTATTTATGATTGTCTAAACTACTCCCTAAGAAGCAGGTTCTGGATTTTACCTGACTTGTTCACTAAAGGAAAGTAAATCATTGCCAAGGGTTGATGTATGTTGTGCATTTGGTATTTCTTTGTTAAGATAAAGATTTTAAAGGAGACTTTGGTTTTCTCAGAAGCAAATGTGACCATATTGCCTCTGTTAGTTCCTCCAGACTTTGATGTACATATATCATTCAGAAGGTTTTCTGTGTCACTTACGTGTTGGGATAGAATATGCATTCCTGACTCTTATTATGAAGAAAAGCATATTTGCACCTGAATTTTTTCTTTTCTTTCTTTCTTTCTTATTTTAATTTTGATGACATGATGTGAGAAAAGGTCCTGACTCAAATGCCAATTGAAGAAGATATTGTGTGTCTGAGTGGAGAATGCTAGGCATATCCTGTATGTTCTTATCTCTGTGATCCTGGCTGTGTGTGGTTGAGGCTAAATTGCAAAGTTTATCTCAGATGTTTCTTGAACAACTTTCCCTGGCCCAGTTAGAGATGAGAGTAAATGGGGAAGTCTCCAGTATGTCCGAGCATTTGTGTTGTTAGAATAATCCATTTGAAACAAGAAAATGAGAGCTGGGTTATGTCTCTTAGGCTTGGGAATGTTTTTCAGAGAAATCAGGTTTTGTTTTCATTGGCCTAAATAAATCTTCTAGAACTAACTCAGTGGTTTACTTTTGCTTATGTTAGGACTCATTCTTATTTTACTGAAAATCTTCTTGAAAGGAACTCAATGGAGTAGCAGCAGCTAATTTCTTAGAAAAGCTTCTTTTATTAAGAAATGATCAGCCTCAGAAATGCAGGAGTTAGTTGTTTAGAACATTAGATGGATGTCATTGCATTAATTATGTTCTAATTTAGCATTTGGTGGAAGGTTGCCACTTAACTCTGGAATTCTTTTGTTTCACTTGGTCTTTATCTCCTCCTTTCCATGGTTCAAAATCTGATGTGCTTTCACCGAGGGAACAAGAGTCTTACACTATCCATGGAACTGTTTGTGCACTCTCAAATTCTTAAACTTAAAGGCTATTTTCTTTTAAAAAAATAGAAGAAGAAGAAGTATTTCCCCTAATACTTCAAATTTTATTTTAGTCAAAGAATCTTAAAAAAGAATGGGATGAGGAGAGGTTTTATATGCCTGAAAAAGATACAAATCAAAATTCTTAGACCGTATTTCCACTAAGAATGATAGGCAAATCTCTCTAGACAAAACTCTGCCTCTTGGTCTGAAGTTTTCTTTCCAGAATGTTCTAGGGGTAGAAGATCTTTGAGAAACTGAGAGGAAAAAAATCCTGCAGGGACTAATTTGTTTCTTTTTCCAGATGACAAATCCTCTGAGGGAAATTGACAAAACAGTGGGGCAGTTAATGGATGGACTGAAACAGCTAAATCTGCACCGCTGTGTAAATGTCATCTTCGTTGGAGACCATGGTAAAGCTTTGTGTTTCTTCTTTCACTAATAGAACAGTTTCATGGGCAGTGGTTCTATTTGTGCTGAGGGAAGGAGCCCTTGTTCTCAGAATCCTAGATTGTATTCATTACCTTTGTCCTTTTTCCTTCAGAATGGGCTGGAGCGATAGCACAGAGGGTAGGGTGTTTGCCTTGTACGTGACTGACCCAGCCGACCCAGGTTTGATTCCTCTGCCCCTCTCGGAGAACCCAGCAAGCTACTGAGAGTATCTTGCCCGCACAGCAAGTCCTGGCAAGCTACCTGTGACATATTAAATATGCCAAACACAGTAACAAGTGGCACAGTGGAGACGTTACTGGGTCCACTCGAGCAAACCGATGAACAGTGACAGTGACAGTGACTTCAGAATGGGGAAAGAAATCAGATCCTGACTCAAAAGATGGCCTGAGATGCCCCTGGCTTCATTCATTTTGATCAAGGCCATGTCTTCAATAAAAACTTAGTTCTTTTTTTTCATTTATAAGTTTTTGTACTTGGGTTTTGGTCATACAAAAAAACACCCCTTAGTTCTTATTAAAGTGTTGCAGACCATTTAATTTGCTTTTAATAGTTCTCTTTTGGTTTTTGAACCACACCTGGCAATGCTCAGGGCTTACTCCTGACTCTACACTCAGGAATTACTCCTGCTGCTCTGGGAAACCAGGATTGGCCACATGCAAAGCAAGTCCCTATCCCCTATACTATGGCTCTGACTCTTGGTATTATTAGCTTTCTATGCAAATATTGGGTGTGATAAACCCCTTCCTTGCTAACCACACCCCCCAAAAGAGGTCTGGCTGGAGCCATAGCATAGCAAGTATGGCGCTTGCTTGCCTGTGACTTACCTTGTTTTGATCCCCAGCACTCCATAAAGTCCCCCAAGTACTGCCAGGAGTGATCCTTTGTCATAGGGCCAGGAGTAAGTCCTGAGCACCAGTAGGTGTGGCCAAAAAAAAAAACCAACATTAAAAAAGAAGCTACAGAGTTTATGTGGATAAAATGTGAATCTAGGGTTAGAGGTCAGATATGTAGCTCAGCAATAAATGGGTTGCATTGTGTTTATGAGGCATTGGATTCAATCACTGGCACTACTTACTACTACTAGTACTACTACTACTACTACTACTAACTACTACACACACACACACTTACACTCAACTATGATAAAGAAGGATATTTTGTTAAAGAAGTGGAAGCAATTTTTCCAAAATCATTGTATAATCTAAATCATTGTAAATAACTCATTATATTTTGGGAGAGAGAAACAAGACGGAAAATTTGGTGGTTGTAAAGCTGAAAGGAAAGCCCCAGAAAGCTTTCTTAGTTCCCCCGTTCACAGACTTGAGTTCTAGAGAGTGTCTGCAGCATCACAGAGCTAGCTCCCAGGTGAAAACTCTTTTGTGGACCTACCATGTTCTTTCCAGAATGTTTGAAAAGGTCTATGAGAATGGACATAACAAACAACATGAAGCATAGCAACCTAGGGTCCTCTTGATCCTTTGCAGAGGCTGAATGCGATCTTATGCAAAATCATGCTCTGTGAGTTTGACTTGGTGGAGAATGGCTGATAGGACAGAGCATGTGACATCGCGATTTCAGTTTAAATTTCCCAAGTGTCAGGCGCATTTGGCTACACACTGGAGCCAGATGTTGAAGAAGCAGATGAGTTCTAATGAGTCATAGACTGGAGCATGTCAGGTTCTTGGATAGGTTCAAACTTTGTCTTGCCAGAGTCCAGACTTCTGAAATGAGCAGAACTGTTTTGGCTTGGGGGCACCATGACATCTGTAGTTATTAAAAGGTAGTGTGGAGACACTGGCCTTGAACTATTGAGGGAAAATATGTTTCAGTGAAGTTCAGATTGCACTGTGCCACTTAACACTTCTGAAATACCACTTGTTGTACACTCTTGAGTCTCAGTCTCCTCATCGGCAGATGAGAATACTCACACCACCTATCTGGAATTAGTCTGGAGCAGGAGGATGATGATGCTTGAGAAGAATTAAAATATGGTATTTAAAAGCAAGAGAGATAGTTTCCTGTTGACTCTCTGTATGTGTGTGGTGGGTGGAAACAGGGAAGGGATATCTTAGAAAGCTAACAAGTGGTAAATCCTTGTCATCTTCCATCCTGGGTTAATATTGTTCTGGAACATAGTAGCTATTAATTTTCATTTTCATTCTTGATAATTTATATATTTAAAGGCAAGATGTATTATCTTGAAATATGGGTTTCCCCTTTTTGTTCCCATTTGCATTAAAAATATGTACAGGTCTGACATCCCAGAAAATGACCATATTAATTTTACTTGATATGGACCTCTCTCGGTTGTGGTGGTGGTGGTGGTGGTGGTGGTGGTGGTGGTGGTGGTGGTGGTTATCATTGTGGGAACTACACCTGGGACTACTGGAATTACCCCTGTTGGATACAGGGTGTCACTAGAATCATACCCAGTGGTGCCTGCGGCATATGCAGCACCAGGGATTAAAGCCAGGGTCTCTTGAGTGCCATCCCAGCCCCCTGGTTTATATTTCTGTATTCCAAAACTGTAGGCCATCATTCAGAGAATCACTTATTTCCTCCTCATAGAGAATGCTCATATGTTAGGGCATATAATATATGAAACTATCACCATTTTGTTATTTCATAAATCCTGAGATAAGTTTTCTCACTCCCCATCATCTATGAATCTAAGATTTAAGTTTGCTATATATGTGTCTTTTTTTTTCCCTTACAATAGGTTGATCAAGAACTCTGCCTTGATAGGAGACAGGAGATGTGTTGGTGAAAATCGTTCCCTGCCTAGACTATCTTTGTATTCTGGTCACTAGCTTTTAGTTTTGACTGATTACATGGTTTACAATTTATTTTCAGTGGTATTTTGTTTTTCAGTTTGGGTGGTCATTTTGCCTCACATTTTCCTTTTTCATCTCTTATTGTCAGTATTGTTTTATTGTAACATCCAAGGCCACCAGCAGAGACAGTGTGGGCTGTGATTATGGACTCAACTCAGGACATCTAGTAGAGAGAGAAAAAGAGTTAGAAAAGCACATTTTGTAAAAGAGACACAAGTCAAAGACAAAGTTTGGGGAAATATTTTATAAAGTAGTATCCCAAAAAAAAATGAAAGCTAAGAAATCTAGAATAAGAGGTATCCTTGCATTAAGTTGTTCAAACTAATTGAGGACATGGCTGATTGTTCTCTCTACTACAAAGATTTTAAATTTAATTGCTGGAGAACTGTGTTACTTTTCTCTTCAGGAATGGAAGACGTGACCTGTGACAGAACAGAGTTCTTGAGTAATTACCTCACCAATGTGGATGACATTACTTTAGTGCCTGGAACCCTAGGAAGAATTCGACCCAAATTTCCCAACAATCCGAAATGTAAGTGGTTTTTAAAATACTAAATGGTTAGAGTGAAAATGTAGTAGAGTAAGTTATGTCTTTTTCTCTGAAGCTGCAGTACTTGGGTAAAAAAAAATCCTAGCTCTATAATTTCCTACCTGAGTGACCGTGAGCAAATCAATTCAGCAGTAAACCTCCATCTTTGTTTTAACTGAAGAACACATATGATAATAAAAGTAGCTTCCCTGAATAGCCATTATGAAAATGTATTTCACTTAAGAGGGGATTCCTGACTCAGGGAACATATTTACTCTTGCTATTTTCATGTGAGAAATGTGTTGAATTTGTGATATGTGTATAACCATAAACTTTTGTTCACAGGAGAGGGAACATTTTTATAAGAGGATTGGACAGAACCAAAATGGGATCCTAACAGTTTCTGGAACAGGGTATAAGGGGATCTTTGCCTTTGTAAAGCAATGGGTAGAATCCAGGAGGAAAAAAAATCTACTAAATCTTTGAGAAGTGGTAGCTGTCTTGAAAGACCAGAAATAAAACAAACAAGAATAACTTCAGCACTTACATTTTACACCTCAGGTTATGATGTGCCACTGATAAGAGCTTTGATTTACCAACTAAGATGCTTGAAGTGCTTCCCACCTAGCTTTTGAGAAGTTTATTGTTTTTCATTTAGTTTTTGAAGATATGCTGCAATTGGGAGTGGGGGCAGGGAATCCTTCTGAGTGTGAGAATGAGAAATCATTGGCACCAAGTGTGGAGCTTTGGAAAATTAAGTTTTTCCCAAACTACTTTCCTGAGTCAACACCAGTGGGAACTGTTCCAAGGTCAGCTCCAGGCAACGTTGGGAAATAAACAAAATTTGTCAGTGTTTCTGTCTTTTCTGTGGCCTTTCTGTCCTCTGTCCTCCCTTCTCCTCTGCTCACATGGAGTAAGCAGAGATGGGATCCAGGCCACTATTTGGATGTAGTATTTGCATTTGGGGCGCTTATGCAAGTCAGATTTTTATCTATTTTGAAAGCTATTTCAGATGTAAATGTCATGGAATGGGGTGTTTTTTGAGAGAGGAACTTTCTGGGGGGACAATGGAATAATAGCTTTAAACCACAGAGGATTTTTGGGGGGGTTGGATTGAGTCACATCTGGTGATGCTCAGGGGTTGCCCTGGCTATGCGCTCAGAGATCACCCCTGGCAGTGCTCTGGGGATGATATGTGATGCCAAAGATAGAACTCTGGCTGGCACATGCAAGGCCAATACCTTGCTTCTGTACTATCACTCTGGCCCCAGCCATACTATTTTGTACTTTTGAGAAATACTCATATATATGCTATTTGTTTTTTTAAAGATGGTAGAACAGACAGGGTGGTCAAAAGTGCCAACAGTGTCAGTGGGATGTCTGATTTCCTCTCAGTGACCCGAGAACTCTTCTAGGATCTGCCTCCCAGAGTTGTTATGACTGACCAGAGAGAAAGTACCTGCAAAGCTCTCCTAGAGAGATGGACTGAGCAGGGTCATCATTGGGGTGAATCATTGCCACCATCATCACTGCTGCTTTCCCTCCCCACTTGGTCAGGCTCTCCAGACACAGGGCTGTAGCATGAAAATTCTCACCCCTTTCCCTTTTTATGAAAAGATACAGCTAATGGCAGCCCAGGGAGAAATAGTACAGGAGATAAGGTGCTTGACTTGCATGCGGCCTGACCTTGATTACATACCTGACACTGAATATGAGCCCCTGAGTACCAGCCAATAACACCCCACTCTTGAGCACAGAGCCAGGAATAGCCCCCGAGCATTGCTGTTATAACCCAACTCCCTTGTCCTCCAAAGTGATGCAACTAAAATTTACTTGAGTGGAATCCACATTTGGATTTCATAGCTTTAGAGTGAAGATTTTGAAACTGCCTCCCAAGGGCATGCCCTTATGCTGCAAGGCAAATTTACTCTGAGTTTTCAGCAAATATGAACCAACTAACTTCTCTATCGATCAGTGCATGTTGGTTGAGTGTGTACTGAGGTACGGACCCTGGGAGACAGCAGACAAGGACGTGGCTTGACCTGCCCCCCTGTTGATTACATACCAGGGAGGTTTGCAGCGGGCTTGATGGTGTCTCTTCTGAAAGCTGCTTTCCTTTCCTGCTGATGCCATAATGACACACTAAACCAAAAGTTTTAAAAACAAAACAAAATCCAGCCAACCTACAATCTCCTCTTTCCTCCACCCTCCTTTCCCTGCCCCCCCCTTCTCCCCCCCCCTCCCCACAGGGGACCTTGAGATAATATAATCCTGTCCACAGTTTAAACACAGCCATCTTTGACTGAGTTTTGCTTTTTGCTAGTTCAGGGAGAAATGCCCTTTGTTTGCTGGAAGGAAGAAGAAGGAGGCGCATAGATGTGTGAATCCATGACTAGAGAGGCAGCAGCTACCTCTGTAGTTAAACTTACCATGATATGTACGACTGAGGAACCAAAACTCTTTTCTTGGGGGGGGGGGAAACAAAACCAACCTCTGTAGACTAGAAGATTCATCTTACTGTGGACAATGTCTGTTTCAACTTTGTCAGATGAATGGCAAGTTACATTAAAAGGTTTAAATTGGACCAGAGAATAGCTCAAAGGCCTTGGGCACATGCTTCACATATGGAAGATCTGGGTTTGATCCCAGTACCAGGTGGGCCCCTAAGCACTTCCAGGAGTGACCCCTGAGCACAGAGCCAGGAGTATCCCTGAGTGTCACAAGTGAGGCCCAAACATCCTCTGCCACTTAAAAATATATATATATATATATTTAAATATCCAGTTTAGTTTCTGATGTTAAATGGCGAACATACTAAATCCAAACTATCCAGATTAGTTTCTGATGTTAAATGGCGAACATACTAAATCCAAACTCTAGGAATGTCTTTTTGTGGGGGAACAGACACACTCAGTTTACTTTTCATAAATATCCTGGTGCTTCATGAGGAGGGATGAATCCCCTTCCTTCAGGCAAAGCAAACCTGGTTCTTGCAGGGAAATGTGCCAGAGGAATAGCTCCACCCATCCAATCATTTTTGTTTTCTAAAATATTAAGCGACCACCCAGTTTTGCACGTATTTCACACCAAGCACTGAAGAGATAGATAACCTGTCTCTGCAGGGTGGGAGGGGGAGAAAGAGTTGAAGCTTTTCAAATTGATTTCTCAGTGACTAGCTTCTTTTTTTTAAAATACTTCTCCCTCTCTCTTCCAACAGATGACCCTAAAGTCATTATTGCTAACCTCACGGTAAGTCACCAGCTCTCTGCTCTCGTGGCTGCTGCCACCACATCCCACAGGCCCATCTCCTGTTTCCCTTCCCCATGTGTTGGGAGGAAAGGTTAATCTCACTGCTTGGTTCTGCTGTGTATTTGTTTCCCTAAGAGCTCTCCAAACTGCTGGCCTGTGGAGAGCTGCAGGCTTCCTCACAGTCTTGGCATCAACACACACTGAGACTATTTGATCTTTCCAGTAAAACTGAAGAGGATTCATTCATGATGAAACAAATCCTATTCGTTCTCAACCTGATCTTCCCACCCCCCCGCCTCCCATCCCAGCTCCCTCCCTACCCCATGCAAGGCAGATGCCTGAAGAGCACTAGGGAATATAACCCAAGGGGTCTGACTCGGCCCTTCTTTTTCTCCAACTCCATGTGGGTGACTGGATACAGCTGAGGACGGCTTTGTAGTTGGAGTTGCTCTTTGTTGATGGTCTCACACACCAGGAATGTATCTTATAAATCCCTGACTCCCCTCTGATAACCTTCCGTATCATTGCCAAAGTTATCTAATCTTCTTTAGGCCCATTTGTTTTCAACTTTTTTTTTTTCAATCGTGTAATGAACTCTATTTACTAATTAAATCAGCCTTTGCTTTGCTTAAAATCTTCACTTTTCTAGAGGGATAATGGTTGGAACATTTTTTTTCTTTTGAGGAGAACCTCCATGTAAAATCCAATTCCCATTTTTCATTTTCAGTGTAAAAAACCAGATCAGCACTTTAAGCCTTACATGAAACAACATCTCCCCAAACGTTTGCACTATGCCAACAACAGAAGAATTGAGGACATCCACTTGCTGGTGGACCGTAGATGGCATGTGGCGAGGTAACGCGGAGATTAGTTTTCTCTGTTTCTTGTCTTCATAAACACCTCTTTGGCATCTGGAGTGCTCTAGGGTCCTTAGCGATAACAACAACAACAACAACAGGAATCTCAGTTGGAAAGCTCATCATTTCCAAAGACTTTGTATGCTAGAAAAACAATGCTAATAGAATACATCTCTGATGGGTCTTAGCCTCTTCGTGTCTCTGTGTGGTCCCCAGTGAATATCTGTGTATGTCTCTTTACCTTTTGTTTTTATTGTTTTGGGGCCATCCTCAGCTGTGCTCATGGCTTACTCCTGGCTCTGTGCTCAGGGATCACTCCTGGCGGGGTTCAAAGGGACCATAAAATGGATGCTAAGGATTAAACCCAGGTGGGCCTTGAATTAAACCAGGTGGACTGCACGCAAGGCAAGTGTGCCCTACTATTGTTCTGTCCCATGTTAATTGTGAAAAAATTTTATGTATCGGGCCTGAGACAATATTGGGGTTAGGGTGCTTGTCTTACTACAGAAACTCAGCAACACATATTGTCCTCTGAGCACTGTCAGGAGAGATCCTTGATCAAAGAGCCAGAAGAAAACCTTGAGCAGTCCCCCACCTACTTGCACCCCCAAGATATACCAGCTCTTATTTCTGTGCGTTGAAGAAGTCGAGAATGACTGACTTATCACACAAGAAACTCGGCCTATCACTCAAGAGTGGGGACTATATGAGGTTCACTCTGTAGCAACATTTAGAATAGAGAAGTTCAGAGAATGTTCTTAACCTTAAGCCTCTGTTCCTGTGGCCATGTTTTAGAAGGTTTAAATAGTTCAGATGTTTGCCTTTTTTGAACTATGAAAGACTCTGGATATGGAGACTATTCCTTGCTCTTGAATCTGGCAGAGAATATGTCTGGAAACTCAGTAGATCCAATCAGTTAATTGAAAGTTTATTCACTTTTAAACATACCTGGGAGTGGCCATTCCCACTCATTCTTGCTCGACCTTCTCCTTAAGATAAGTTTTGGGTCTGAATGATAATACAGCGGGTACAGCGTTAGCTTTGTATGCAGTCAACCCAGGTTCAGTCCCTGCCATCCCATATGGTCCCTTGAGCACTGCCAGGAATAATCTCTGAGTGCAGAGCCAGGAGTAACCCCTTAGAATTGGTAGGTGTGACCCCCCTCCATCTCTCAAACAAAAAAGTAACCTGAAAGTTTTATGAATTGGTCTGCAGTAATGCAACAGCTAGTATATGTATTTGAGCTAGGTACTTTAGTGAGTTTATGAGACAGAGAAGATAATGAGTAAATATTATGACTCTGTTAACTTATGGGCTGGAGCGATAGCACAGGGGTAGGGTGTTTGCCTTGCACGCGGCCGACCTGACAGGTCCGGGTTCAATTCCTCCACCCCTCTCAGAGAGTCTAGCAAGCTACTGAGAGTATCTCGCCCTCACAGCAAAGCCTGGCGAGCTACCCGTGATGTATTCAATATGCCAAACACAGTAACAACTAGTCTCACAATGGCGACGTTACTGGGCCTGCTCGAGCAAATTGATGAACAACAAGAGGACAGTGACAGTGACAGTGTTAACTTATATTAGTATGGATCTCCTGGAGAGAACCATAAAACAAGTATATAAATATCCCATATCATTTTCAGTGGATGTTTAGAGTTTAATGAGTAGGATCTTAAACATAGATATGGGAGGACCAGAAACCATGGAAACAATTGAAAATAGATATGTTAAGTCATCATGGAAAAGTTACAGAGATGTGATCCAAATGACTGCAGAATATATTCTCTGGAGGACCTTCTTTGTATTGGAGTAGCTTGGAGAAGACAGAAAACTTGGTGCAGTTGATAAATTTATATGAAATCATCAGGGAATTGAGTAGAAGCTAACTGAAAGATGAAGACAATTGAGCAAATTAGTATGGAAGAAAGCTAAGCATTTTAATTAGCAGTAGATCTTTCTAATCTAACTCTTACATCTTTTTTTATTATAGTCACATATGTTATTATCAATGATGGTTGGAAGTATCAGTTGTGACGGGTGATGTTTGCTGAAAATAGATAAAGGACCAAACATGATGGCCTCTCATTATCTGTAATCTGTATTGCAAACCATAATACCCATAAGTAGAGAGAGAGTAAGAGGGCAATTGTTTGCCATAGAGCAGGGGGAGAGGGGCACTGGTTGGGGGCAGATACTGGGGACATTGGTGGTGGAGAATGTTCACTGGTGGAGGGATGGGTGTTCGATCATTACATGACTGAAACATTAAAGTTTTGTACCTCACAGTGATTTAATAAAAAAAAAAGAAAAAAAAAGAAAAGGAAAGAAAAATAGAACTATTACAGATTCTTTGGAACTCAGAAGGTAGTATAGGGATTAACCTTCTCTTTCAGGTAGCCGATCTGGTTCAAGTCCTAACACTGCTAGGTCTGCTAAACACTGCCAAAAGTAGCCACAGAGCACTGACAGGTGAGATTGTCTTTTAAGAGAAATCCCGACAGATCTACAATTGTTTTTCTGCAGGAAACCCTTGGATGTTTATAAGAAGCCATCAGGAAAATGCTTTTTCCAGGGAGACCATGGCTTTGATAACAAAGTCAACAGCATGCAGGTATGATCAAAGAACTGCAAATTGAACATGTGTTTCTGTAAGCCTCAGAATGCACGTAAAGTGCTGGTGTGAATGAAGTTGCATGATATTTATAAATAAGGGAAAGGATTCTATGGGATGTTAATGATGACTAATTGTTTTGGTTTTCTTTTCTTTTGGAAGACTGTTTTTGTAGGCTATGGCCCAACATTCAAATACAAGACTAAAGTGCCTCCTTTCGAAAACATTGAACTTTACAATGTTATGTGCGGTAAGTCACTTCTTTATTTCAAACCTATGAAATGATCTGGGGTAAATGTAGAAAAGTTCTTCATGTTAGAGAAAGGAATGACATGTTTTGTGTGTTATTTTCTCCTGGGACCACCTTATCTCCCCCTCCCCCCCCAATGTTTTAATTTGCTCAATGGTTCAAAGCACAGACCATCATCACTGTGTAAAGCTTCTTTGTCTTCCTTTAACAGTTGCCTAATGGGGAGTGTTCATAGTGTTGCTGTTGGCAGTCTCTGGCTGATCAACATTATGTTACAGTTTGACACCACTCACTGGTCAGTGACCTGGTGAAGCAAGAGTTGCTCACAGAGCTTTCTCCCGCCTCCATCTCTCTCGTGTTGCAGCCTAAAATTTTTTGCCAGCTTGCATCCTGGCCAGCTATTTATATGTTCTTAATTATTTTTCTTCCCAAGCTTCTAGTCACTGAATGAGGACAACTTTTCCTATTTAGTAAGGGAGTGCCAGTCTGGTGGTTAGAAGGGGAGTCTGAAAGTCGGGTCTCCTGGGTTCTTTTCCCATCTTGGCCATGAGCTCTCCTGGGGCCTGCCTCTCAGCTTAGGCAGGTCACTGTGTGCCCACTTGGCAGCTCCTCCCTGGCTATGAACTCAGCCTGTTCATTTCACAGCGGCCTTTCAAGGCCCAGGGCCAAAACCTCCTCTTGCCCCCATCCTTCAGTGGAGCGCATTAGAGGGCAGACTTGAGGATTTATTGATTATGTCTTGTTTCAAAAGTTAGGATAAAAAGTTCCCTACTGGAAAGGCAAGGGCACTGGCCTGGATAGTCCTTGGGTTGTAGCTATCACAGACATTATGATCATGATGTTAGGCCCTATTCCTTCATTCTTTGAAATGTCTTTCTCTATGATCAAGCAATATCCATGGCTGTTTTAGAACGTTATGGCAAGATGTGTCCTTATTAGCATCGTTCCAGAAGTAGGAAGGGAATGCCTACCATTTCCACTTGATTTTATCCAATTCCTACATGTTCAAGACTTTTGGACCTTTAGAAGAAATAGTTTCAGTGCTTATCATAGCACTGTCTGTAGCACTGTCCTCCCTTTGTTCATTGATTTTCTCGAGTGGGCACCAGTAACATCTCCATTGTGAGACTTGTTTTTACTGTTTTTGGCATATCGAATATGCCACAAGAAGCTTGCCAGGTGGGATACTCTCAGTAGCTTGCCGGGCTCTCCAAGAGGGATGGAGGAATCGAACCCAGGTCGGCTGCATACAAGGCAGATGCCCTACACACTGTGCTATCACTACAGCCCAATGCTTATCATATCACATCAAAAATATTTACAAACCACAGGACATGACTTCTTTTTTATTCCTCTCTTCAGATCTCCTGGGTTTGAAACCAGCTCCTAATAATGGTACACATGGAAGTTTGAATCATCTCCTGCGTACTAACACCTTCAGGCCAACCATGCCAGAGGAAGTGACCAGACCCAGTTATCCAGGGATTATGTACCTTCAGTCTGATTTTGACCTGGGATGCACCTGTGATGATAAGGTAGAACCAAAGGTAGAAATAATCTTCATATTTAACATGAAGGAGCTTCGGAGGTGTAGTATAGTGCTATCCAATAGAACTTTCTTTGATGATGTGAATGTCTGTGAAATGGTCCCTGTCTGTGAACTCTAAAATGGTAATTTTTAGATATGCTTTTTAGCACTTGAAACTAAATTAATAATTTTTTTTATTTAAGTACTAAATGGAGGTTACCTAGTAGTGGTAGAAGGAGTAAGGAAATGGAAAGAGGTAGACTAGAAGTTCTGTAATGACAGTGGTGGAGGGTCCTGGGCACTTTGCGGATGGTGAAGTTGTACTAACTTTGACTTCAAAACCACAAATAACAGTATTGTTGTAGCCTTGTTACCTCAACCACAATAATAGTTTTTTTTAAATTTTTTAATTTTTTGGGTCAAACCTAGTGATGCACAGGGGTTACTCCTGGCTCATGCACTCAGGAAGTACTCCTGGCAGTATATGGGGGACAATATGGGATGCTGGGAATTAAACCCGAGTTGGCCGCATGCAAGGCAAATGCCCTACCCACTGTGCTATCGCTACAGCCCCAATAACATTTGAAAAAGAAAACAGTAGTTATTTAACATGAAAGAACCACCTTTACTTCATGGGGCTGACATATTGGACAGGATAGGCATAGAGAATGGAGGAGAAGGATGCTACTTGCTGGAGTCATACTTTTGTACCAATTACTTTTTCCATTCCCCCCCATCCCCACCCCGAGCATCTATCTTGAAGTCATGAACCCAATGAGAAATAGCAGAGAGTTTAACGGAATTATTGCAGTGATGTTTACTAAGAGGAATGATGAGTTCCTAGTAAGTGAGTTATGGTGAAGCACTCTGGAGCAAATCGGGACTAAATTCTAGGCCTGTTCAGACAAGGCAGGAAGCAGTTACCAGGATGCAGAAAGAGTGCTCCACATGATGGAAATGTGGAATCGGATGGAGGGCTGCAGCCTGATGGAAAAACTGGGGAAGGAATATTTCTGGGCTCTGTCTCTCCTCCCATCCCCAGCTGTAGTCTCTAACTGGAAGACCCCCCCTCCCCAAGGAAATTCACTTTTTGATAGTGTTCCTAGAGGTCAATCTCCCAAGTACCTAGCAGGGTTTGGAGGAGTGTAGCACAGATGGGCATGAGGCAAGATAGAGTGATACCAAGAGACACTATCCAGTATATTGTGTTTGGACAGTTTTTGAATATCAAACAAACAGTACATGTTAAGCAATAATTGGGTTGCTGGATTTTATGTAGAACAAAGGTTTTCATGGTTGCTAATTAGTGGTTCTGGAAGCAGGAAATAACCAGTGTTTTTACACTGAGTTCACGCATTTCCAACACAAAGCAAAGTAAGTGTGTGTCTGTGTGTTCATGCATGGCTTAATTATAGGTAAATAAGCATTTTTTTTCTACTAGACCTTAGAAATGAAAAATAGTCTCTCCTCCACTTGCTCCCTGCTTTCTACTTTTATTTGACAAGGATCTGTGAAGCTTATTACTCCAAGGCAGGCAGGCCGGTAAATCTTAGACTTCAGCTTTGAGTTATCAATAACAAGAGGAAGTAATATTGAAAGGGACCTCAGATATATTTAGAGTACTTTATTAGTTGTTTCTTGATTTCTGAATTATATTTATTCTGGAGAACAACAAATATTTTGTATATGTTCTCATAAACCAGTTTAACAAAATTACGGATTATCTTATGTTTATGGGTTTCTCTAAAAGATGACCTCCCTTTCTTTAACAGAAAACAAGTCCATACTGTATAGAAGCAAAATAAATGCTCCAATTTTAGGTCATGAAAAAGGAAACATTACATATTGAGTGGAAGTTCTTGTGTATTCCTCTACACCCATCATGCTTTCTTCCTCTCCCGGCTGTAACTAGTATCCTAAATATATCCAAATATTTCCCATGTAGATCTCAAAACTTTTATTCCATACATATATTTTTCTTAGATAGTATACTTAGTCTATTTCTCATAGATTTCCCTGTGTATAATTTTCTGTGTATAATTTTTAATATAATTTCATGTACATGCTAATGTCCAATATCTATCCTACAATTCTGGATTCATCATTATGTTATGTTTGAGTATTAGGCATGTTCTTTTAGTATTATGCATTATTCTTTTAGGTACCTGAGAAATGTGGTTTAGTGGCAGAGCACATGACGTGCATGTTGAAGATCTGGGTTTGATCTCTGGTACTACTTATACTAATTGAAAATATATTAAGTGCATTTTATATGTGGTTATATTAATTCATATTAAACCATGAAGTCTTAGCTTATTAATTTTCACTGCTAACAGTTATTATTTAATTGTATAAAGTACTATAATGATTATTTTCCTACTTGAGAACATCTGGTAAGTTTCCATTATTAACTCTTACAAACACGGGTATAATAGAACTTTTTGATAATGTCTTCCTGTATGCATATGCTAGAGTATTTTTAGAATATATAGACAATAACATTACTAAGCAATTATTACTTTTCAGAATTTCTGACTTATTACTTTTCAGCTTTGGAGAAATCAATTCCATAAATTGGTGTGGGAATCACTTTAGTGTATTTAGGGATCAGTCTGACATACTGAGTCAGCGCTCTAATTTATGAATATGTGCCCAAGTAATCATCATTATCGTCATAGGATTTGGTACATGATTACTCAGTTTTAAGAAAAGGAAACATGGAGTGATGAAAAAGGTGGCAGTGACCAGAGATCTATAAGGACGTGGAGTCTGAAATTTGAGTTAAAATAATAATTCCTCTCTAGAGTTTATGATATTAGTGGAGTTTTAGGATCCTATTTTTATCATCATCATCATCATTATTGGGCTTTGTACCATGCATGCTGATGCTCAGGGCTTACTTCTAGATCTTCACTCAGGAATTATTTCTGGCAGTGCTCGGAGGACAACATGGGATGCTGGAGATTGAAACCTGGGTTGGCCATGTGCAAAGCAAGTAACCCTATCTGTTCTACTATCACTTTGGCCCTGGAAAGGGCACAGGAAAGAATAAACATTTCTGATTTGCTTTGCTTTCTCTTTTCTCTTTTTGTGGTGTTTCCACACATGAAGAACAAACTGGATGAACTCAACAAACGCCTTCATATAAAAGGGTCAACAGAAGGTGAGGAGTTGATGTGGGGGTGGGGAGGAGAGAGGGTGGAGGAAGGAACACAGTTAAATTTTGATTTTCAATTGTCAAGATTTAAAGAGACATACTACTTTCTAATATAATCACACTATTTTTAAAAGTTCCAAAATTTCAGTTATTTTAATATCCATCTGGTTTATTCTATGTGTACATGATGCTAGCTGTGTGACAGTCTAACATACTCCATTCACTTTCCTTGAACCTCAGTATCTTTTTAAGTGCTCTCAAAAACAGGTTTACCATTAAGTGTCTGCTGGGTCATTAATTCAGGGTTAAGGGCTCTCCTATAGGGAGAATGGATATTGCAGTTATAAATATTACAGGAAGTTCACATCCCTAGAGAGACAGTCTTTGTGTTGTGGCGGGAAAGGGGATTTCCAGAAAGAATCTAATCAGAACTCTATTTAAATATCATTTTGAGCCTTAGTTTCTTCTCCTTATTTTACATACAATCAAAGCATTCACATATTAGCCCACATTTTCAAGCTTGTAACATCAATGAGAGAAATATAATCTCAGTGACTTGTATCCAGAAGGTTGCATTCTCACTTCCATTATAGAATACTGACCATATGCTAAGTGCGGCTTTGCCCATGGTGATTCTCTCTGTGCCGGAATCTAGACTGAAGAAGCAGTTTCTCTCTGAGATATCCCTGTCTCATGGCAGGTGGGGGTGGAGGGCTGGAAGAAGAAAGGCAGAACTGTGCCATGAATGAGTCTCAGTGTTTCTGCTTTGATGAGGCCTATGTTACTTCTGTTCATGCTTGAATGACAAAAGCGGTGTACATGAAACCACTGGGGTAGAAAAGTGTGTTCTTTTCATTGGAAGATAGTTCAGCAAGTGACATGACAATGGATGGTTGTACATAATCTTTTTAAAAGGACAGTAAGGAGCTGGAGCAATAGCATAGCGGGTAGGGCGTTTGCCTTGCACGCGGCCAACCCGGGTTCGATTCCCAGCATCCCATATGGTTCCCCGAGCACCACCAGGAGTAATTCCTGAGTGCATGAGCCAGGAGTAACCCCTGAGCATCGCTGGGTGTGACCCAAAAAGCAAAAAAAAAAGGGCAGAAAATAATTAGGAACAACAACACAAATCGACAAAAATTATCCTTCTCTGGAAATTCCAGAATATTAGAATAAAATAGGGGAGCAAATGGCTCCTTTACAGGATACTACCATAGTTGGGAGAACACCTTGCAGCAGCAAGGGATGGCTAAAAGCATATGAAATAGCATAGAGAAGTCAGCAGGCAGTCCCCCCCTCCCCAAGACAAGCAGCAAAAAGGCATCCAGTTCAGATCTCCTGAGAGCGTTTCTTGAGTTACTAGCTTACATGTGGTTCTGTTTAGCCTGTTGCTGTTTCCAATCAAAGTAAAGGTTGAGGAAACCAGTTGAAGATTTTATTTGACTCATTTCCCCTGTTAATAAAGATCTTCATCTTTCTTTCTCCCTCTTCCCGTTTCTGTGTCACCACCCGCTCACTTTTATCTTTGATCATAGAACAGACTCTTTGGCACATAATTGGATGAACGCAGCATTAAAGACAGGCCTATTTGGTGGAAAGCACCCACGTTATACAGACACTTGATAGGTGATTTGAAATGTTGGCTTTCTGGCTTCCAATGTCTTATTGTATTATTATAATTAAAAGCTTGGGATCTTTTGAGAGTCAGGAGGGGTGTCATGAGACAACTTTTTAATTTATTCTGTCACTCAGGCAGAGAAGTAGTACTGATATGTTTCTTTTCTAAAAGACCCTGATGAAAAATAGTAACTTAAGATCACTCCTTGCGGATTTTGTCTTTGCTTACTTAAGTTCTGAATCACCATGATACTGAAATGTTTCTATCTAGATTTACTTTGCTGGTGATTTATTTGACAATTCCATCCTTCAGTTTAGCATTGATGGTAGCTTCAAAATTGTGAACTTCTACCTAGAGATGTCTTCTAGGTGAATCACTCTTTCAGGGCTGGGAGGAGCTATAGTCAGTGTCCTTTGTTGGCTACTGCTCCCTTTGGAGATGGCTGGAAGTGTCTTATTTCATGGTGATGTGTTATGGCTGATTCTTAAAGTTTAGGTTCTTAAATATAAATATCTTAACCCTCTTGAGCATTTGGTCCCTGCCCAGGGATGATTTCCCTGGGCCATCTAGTTCTACCAGCTGTATTATTGGTAGTTTTCAACCTCTAACTTCACAATGATAGTATTAAATACAAGTCAAGATTTTTTTGGTCTGATCCTGGCTTGGAAGGAAAAACATTACAAGACGGATTTTTAAAACTATTCCATGAAACAAACAAAAATCAATATCATTTCCTTATTACATGCAGAGTACCTTCTTAGAATCTGGAGTATGCCCAAGTCTCAGAATTCTCTCTCCTATCTCTCTCTTTGTCTCCATTTCGGGTCCTATCTTGGCCATTTCTTCAGCAGCAAAGAACTTCTTGGTCATAGTTCTTTTGGTGTTTTCTGTCAAAATTTCAGTTTCCTGCTGAAAACTGTCATTGTTGATTTCGCTACAGGAGACCCTGGTGAACCCCAGTAACGGGGCATGTGAGTTCAGGTGCATATTATGCTCAGAGTAGTTGCTTCCCCTTTCTAGGTATCCTTGAACACATATTGACATCTTTAATGCATTTTGTAGATCTAAATTTCTACACAAATATCAAGTTATATTATTTTTACTCAGCATTTAAAAACACCTATAGATAACTGATTCCCCCCCACCCTCACCCCCATAATAAGCTAGGTACTATTCATGGTGCTTTTGCAACATTTTTACAAGGCTTTTTAAGTGTCATATGTCTCAGAAACACTTATTTGTCTACAAATCACATGTGAAAATCACGATATTCTAGTAATGAAAGAACCCAAGGAGTACTTGAAGTAACTCAAAAGAGATTTATAAATTATTTTTAGTGAGTATTTTGATATAAATGTTTTAAATGTTACAAAAGCAAATTCTTTGCTAAAGAGGAAAAAATATGATCTTTAAAAAGGGTTACCTGAACTTCTTGAAAAACCTTAATTTTTCTAGATATGGGTGGATTATAGAGTTTACTGCATTCCTGGTATTTCTGAATCACATAGATTCAATATCTTGACACACTTCTTTGGCAGTGAAAATGATTTTCCTTGAGACATTGAATCAATGAATGAATAAAAAATGGAAACATTTTCATTTCCTGCAGTAAGCAATTCTGACACTATAATTTTTTAGTTTGAGTTTGTTGTACTAACTTTATTAATTTGATCTACATTTAAAATTTATTCTATCTGCTTTCTTCTTGGTCCTTTATCTGTTTATACTGCTATAAAAGTTTTTTATATTTTCCTAGTCAGGTTGGTGTTCATTGCCATCTAAAACAAAAGAAATTAAAAGTAATTTTCATTCCTATATATGATGTTTTATTATTGCACACAATGAGAAATTTGTTGTTAGAAAAATGATTTATATACACACAAGTCTTGTTAATTTTAAAGTAGAGTCAAAAATAGACTAGAGTCCTAAATAACTAGAGGAAGGATCTCTTGTGTAGCTCTTTTCAGTTATGAACTGTTTCACATTATTGTTATTTCTAAAGATGTTAGGTATGCTAAAGAAAAAAGGAGATATGCTAAGTTTCTGTCTGTGCATCGTCTTGCATATGGATTTTTGGAAGAAATAAATAGTATAATTGTTTACAACTAGAGTAGGATTCAAGATGATTTGGATGAAATAGATGATGAATTTTAATAATCTTTAGCTAGAATTACTCATTGAATTACATCAATGTAATTCAATGTAATTCAACACCCACAAATACATCAATGTTAACTATGAGTTATCTGAGCCAAGCCTGAGTGAGGTACTTTATACATTGCCTGTAAATAGTGAAACATCCCAGGGAGACATGAGGTTTTGGGAGATTAAGTTACTGAATAACAGAGCTATAAAGCACCGAGTTGAGATTGGACTCTAATTCCATATAATATTGAAACCTTTGTGTTTTCTTTTGGAAATGCTTCTTATGCAAGGATTAGAAGAAAGAAAAAATGTTAGGGAAGACCCTCAGTGCAACTCAACAGTTGAAAGTTGTTCATTAATTACTTTGATACAAAATGCTTTCATCATTAGTTTCTTAGCAGGCATGATTCAGGCAGCACTCAGAATTGGAAACAACTGGCTCGTAATTCTAATGTGTGCTCCACTAGAATAACCTCACAGATGATCCAACAAGAAACTTCCCAGAAAGCTAAAGAGAAGAAAAAATGAACCAAGATGACGGGGGCCTAGAATCTGGGTCCTACTTTGGAGCTGAATTAACCCGTGGAAATCATATCTTTGTCAGCAAAATGGAGATGATATCGATTTGCAAAGTCTGTATCTCAGGATTATATCAGATTTCTATGTAGAAAGTTCTTGAGAGTTGCAAAGAATAATTCATTTTTTTAAAAAAAACCAAATTATTTATCTAGCAAAGTTTTACAAGTAGATATTATTTTGGGCATAGAGATAGAATGATGAGCAAAATAGATAAAACCCCAGTCCTCATTATATTATCTTACTTGAGGGTAAGGCAGAGAACTCGAAGGACTGAAGTACACTCCTGGCATGCACTGACCCCTGGTTCAGCTCATGGTTGAGTTGCACTCATGATCCCGGTGCACTTCATGATCTCCTGAGCCATGCAGTATCACTGGAGGCACTTGTAAAGCCTCTACCACCCAAAATTAACTATATTATTGTGAGATGTGGACAATTGGTAAAAGACATATAGCGCTTTAAGGATTGAAATAAAGGAAGAGCAGGGCACCGATGTAGTCATAACATCTAAGCCCAGAAGAGACGGACATGGCCGTGAATGATAGCAGGCACTTGCAAAGCAAGGGAGGAGAAAGGAAGCTGGGCAAGGAAAGACCTTGGATTGAGATTTTGTGGTAAGAACATATTTTGTGGGAGTGAATATTCTTAAGAAAACAAGAGGAGAGATTTTCATGTGGCTCTCCACTCAGCCAACTACTCTGTGGGAGTATGAATCAGAAGCTGAGGAGGGAAGAGAAACACAAACTCAATTTGGGATGATCAAATTTTGGAGTGCAAAAAGAATGAGCTCTGGGGGAGTCCACACCACTTTAAAAGATTTGCCTCATAGTATTTAGCCAAATGTGGTATCTGGAGGAGAACCTTGGCACATACCAAAAATGCCGGAGACTATTGTAAACAGGGCAGGGGTGTCGAATGAGTGCTGTGCCTGGCATTCCATGAAGAGAGGACCCAAACTGGAAAGACAGGGGGCAAAGTAGAGGTGTGTGAAGAAAATTAAGAGGAATAGATGTCAAGATGGGAGGTTTGGAGGCTCACAGTCAGGATGGCTGGTCTTGACATAAACACTGTATGTATATAAAGACTCAGGGATGCTCTCATGGCCAAGGAGGGACTGTTCGCCAAATAGAAATGAAATGGATGGCTTGCCCATGATTTGATTTTCTATTTATTTATTTATTTATTTATTTATTTGCTTTCTGGGTCATACCTGGTGATGTTCAGGAGCCACTCTTTGCTTTGTACTCAGGAATCACTCCTGGCATTCTCAGGGGACCATATGGGATGCTGGGAATCAAACCCCAGTCGGCCGTGTGCAAGGCAAACACCCTACCTGCTGTGCTATTGCTCCAGCCCCTGTTGTTCCATTTTGGGTCACACCCAGTGATGCTCAGGGGTTAATCCTGGCTCTGCACTCAGATATTATTCCTGGCAGTGCTGGGGATGCCAGGTATCGAACCCAGTTAGCCATGTTCAAGCAAATGCCCTCCACACTTTACTATTGCACTGGCCCTGCCCGTGATGTTTTAATGTTTAAAGCAGAGTTCAAAACCCAGGAGCCTGAAATTCTTTGATATCCTGATGAACTGAAACAGGGAAATTGATATTTTGTCCTGATCCTTAGCGTTTTTGTTTCTTTGGCCAGAGAGATACAATGATGGGTGGAGCAGATGCAGGCAGGAGGCTTGATCCCTGGCACATTGAGGGGCAGCTCCCACCTCCCTAGCATCCAGTCAAGAGTAGCATTGAGTGCTACAGTGTCAATCTCTAAAACAAAACCAGAAAAGTCTGCATTTCTTTATACAAATATAGTTTCACTTTTTTAAATTAATTAATTAATTTCAAATATCCATCCCTCCACCAGTGCCCATTTCCCACCACCACGGACCCCAGTATCCCTCCCACCCCCTATCCCCCCATCCCACCCTGCCTCTGTGGCAGGGCATTCCCCTCTGTTCTTTCTCTCCTTTTGGGTGTTGTGGTTTGCAAAATAGTTAAGCCTGATTTTCAGGGAGAAACGTTGGATAATTTACTTTCCATTGATCACTTTGTATATAAGGGGATGTCACATGACCGCATAAGTGGCAGCGCTGTTTGGAAAAAATGTGTTGGTTCCCGCATGCCATAGCTATGCTTGTAGAGGCTCATGGTCACCTGAGTTCCATCTGGAGAAGGCGGATGCAGCACCTAGCCCATCTGGGACCTCCTGGTGATATTGGCTCTGTTTGGGACCTGGAGCATTCTCCCGGAGCTGTGGGGCCCTCCAGCAGTTTTCTTCTTTGTTGCTGTGTGCTGTAAGATGGCGCTGGGGGGCGGGGTTGTGGGCGTGACTTCTGGAATCAGAAGTTGCCTGGGAGCTGGGGTGGCCCCAATGCAGTTCGGAAAAAATGTCCTGGTTCCCGCATGCCATAGCTATGCTTTGTAGAGGCTCATGGTCACCAGGGTTCAAGGAGAGACTTGAACCCTGAAACACAAAAGATGAGGCTTTTATGTTTCAGGAAGACCCTAATAGATTCTTTGGATGAGTTGAGGAACATGGTTGAAGTTTACAAAATTGTCCAAGTCATAGATGCTCAGTTAACAATTGAGAAAAAAGATAATTGAGTAGTATATGTGTGCTCCAGCTAAGTAGCAGAAGCTTTATTTGTGCAAACCTGGGGTGTATGAAATGTCCATTTTTTGAAGAAAACTGAGTTTCTTTTCACAATAGAATAGCAAAAAAGAGATGGGGAAGCTTAGCTGGGAAAATTTTCTGGGAAAAAGTGCATCTTAGAATCTTTTTTTTCTTCATATCCCCCTCCCCCTGTTTTTAGTGATATCTTTTTTTATGTGGGCTTAAGTCTATAACATATTTATTATTCACCATATACTTTTAAATATGAAGGGGCTCTGTTAGCAGGAAAACAGGCATAAACCAGGTTGCTGGTTAGTTTAGCTTACTTTCATCTGCTCTGTAGGGGCTGTACTGATCCCACATCACCCCTTTCATAGCATCAGGTTATATTCTTGTCCCATTGTAGAAGTCTTTGATATAATGTGTGTCCGAGTACACATTAGTTACTTGTGCCATGTTTATCTCTCCTGTTGAACTGTGAACTTTTCTTTAAGATAAAAGCTCTACGTTAATTATCTTTGCTGCATATATCTCTATTCTGTAACCTAAAGTCTAGCACAGAGATTGTAGTCAGTAAATATTTGATGAGGGGCAATGAAGTATGAGAAACATGAGAGAGAAATAACTCATGGAGAATTTAAGGAAATCATGGGTATGATAGCCAAGAGCTAGTAACAATTAGACCTCAAGCAGATATTGTAATCCAATTAGTCTTTTCAGATGGTGGGCTGTCTTTTTTGCAGGGTGGAGAGGCACCCCCAGCTGTGATCATGCTCACTCCGGCTTTGCACTCAAGGATCACTCTTGTGGGGTATGGGGGGGGTGAGGTTAGCTCAGGAGATCATATGGGTTGCCAGGGATTGAACCCATGGGCCATGTGCAAGGTAGGTACCCTACACGCTGTACTATCTCTCTAGCCCTGGTGTGCTGTCTTAAGGTGGCCAAGACTCCAGGTGGTCTGGAGGAGAAGCTGGTGTTGGACTCTATGAATATTCCACTGAGCCTATGACTATTGTTTGGTGACTGCTTTAAGGAGGGATATTACGTGGAGAAAATGTGACTGCTACTTTCATGGTCCCTAAATGGAGTCAACTGGATATTTCTAGCTTCACTTTTCTGTTTGGAGGAATGTGTTTGGGTGATGATCAAACTTGAATAATCATTTTAAACAAGAATAGCTTCTCAAAGAATTTTGATACTTCTGCTTCCAGCTGAAACCAGGAAATTCAGAGGCAGCAAAAATGAAAACAAGGAAAACGTTAATGGAAATTTTGAACCTAGAAAAGGTTTGGTTTGAGTTCTGAAGGAAAAGTCTGACTTGGTTAACCGCCCCCAAGTACTACTGTGATGATTTGCTGGCTTTTTGTTTGTTCATTATGTTTATATAATATTAGCATATTATGTTCTAATTCTTAGGGGTGGGTCCCCCAATTTGGCAGCTTGCTCAAGGCTTCTACATTTACTGCATTTCTGAAGAAGCCAAACTCCCCAGAACAGGCTTGTGCTGCCACAGTGAGGGCCATATTGCCTCAAATCAGCAGTTCTACTTGGGAGGGGCTTGCAAAGTTTCCTACGAAGAGTTTTCTTTGTTATTTGCACAGAATGGTAATACTTTAATTAAAGCAACATGTATACATAATTTAATAAGTGATTGCCAGAACTGATTTTTCTCTAATAAAAATACTAGTACAATAAATTTTTAGAAAATGATCACTCAGGGAATTGGGAACTGCCTAAGCCAGCATTGCCAAATATTTTTCTTGGTGAGAGCCCCCAAATCTATAGAAGTTCTGACTCTAGCTGATCCTAAATGGCAGATTAAGTTCTAGGCACTTGCTGTGGGTTTGAAATGAAGGTTTCCATACTCAGCTGCTACCTCTTCTTCCTAAAAGTTTCAAACCTTTTTGCTGTTTGCTTGTTTATCCTAAGAGGAAAGCCATTTCATGGGGGTTGAACTCAATCTGGGGTCTTACCTCTCTTTGGTAACCAGTCACCTCCCCTCTTCAATATCTGATGGACCTTCTTGGATACCCACTTATTTTATCTATACATGTTCCTTTAAGTTCTTACCTACAGAGTTTTCTCCATGCAACAAAGCTGCTTACTTTAAATGCTCATGACTGCTCCCTTTTTTTATGCTGAGATAATGCATATTTGAGTTGCAGTTTGCAAATAATGATCAGAGTGCCTTCCTCTTAATTAAATCACTGGTTAATTTGATGAGCCTTTTCAGGGGTCAAATGGATAACGTCTACAAAAATCCTTTCAACTCAGCTGAATCATTTCAAAATAAACCATGTAAGGTTTTCTTCTCTTATGGATTAGCATGATTTGGCCCCCCAAAGCATTAAAGAGACGATTTGCATCATAGTTTTGTAAACTATAAGCCTTGACCCATGCTTAGGTGATCAGATAAACCACAAAAGTGTTAGGAAAACTAACTTGATTAAATTAAGGAGAAGGAGCTACATTAATGAGTAAGCAAATGTGGACAACTTGATTTCCTTCCAATATTTATTTAATCCTTGATGTAAAGTTTCATATGTGTTTAACATAGTTTATTTTTCCTTTTCTAGAGAGACACCTTCTTTATGGACGGCCTGCAGTGCTTTATCGGACTAGATATGACATTTTATATCATACTGACTTTGAAAGTGGTTATAGTGAAGTATTCCTGATGCCACTCTGGACATCTTACACTGTTTCCAAACAGGTTGTTGAGAAAATTTGGTTTATTATCTCCGTGTTATTACATTTATTACATAAATCTTATAGTTGCTTATTTCATGGTATTTTTCTTAGGAAATACTTATTTCTTTCTTCTGATAAAACTTACATTGGATGTATTACAATGTATGTTAAGCAAAACTTTGTTCAGTGTTCTGATAACCTCATGGTGATACATGAGTGATTGAATGGATTATGCTAGTTCTTTTTTTTTTAAATATGCTTGGTATATTTTTCCTTTTTGGGGTCACATCTGGGAATGCCAGGGATTACTCCTGACTCTGAACTCAGAAATTACTCCTAGCCATGCTTGGAGGATCATATGGGATGCTGGGAATTGAACCCAGGTTGGCTGCATGCAAGGCAAATGCCCTACCTGCTTTACTATTGCTCTGGCCCCGATGCTAGTTCTCTTAGTGTCTTTAATTCTGCTTGCCTTTGTCTCATAGTTTCAGAAGCTACCAACCCTCTGGAAAATACTGAAACAAATAAGCCCTCCAAGGTTTGTTTCAGTATTTTCTAGAACACTTTCAGTTTTATAACAAAATGGAGTGGGAAATACTGAGTTTCCATATGTCATCCCCTTACCCCACTATCAACACCATAATTTCCTTTTGTTTTTTGTACCCCCCAAGCAGTGCTCAAGGACCTGGGGACCCCCTCCTGGTAGTTCTCAGTCAGCCAAGCCCACAGTTCAATGAGAAGGTCTGAGTGTGGTGCTGAGGCTTACCCAGGCTAGCCTGGAAGTGTTCCTGGCTCTCCAGGGATGCATCCCTTGATGGTCAGAGAAATTTTTGGCTCTAGGGACTAAGTATACCACAGTTAACTCCTTTACTATCTCTCTGGATTCCATATCTTATTTAATTTCTTTTTCTTTTTGGTTTTGGACCATACCCAGCTGTGCCCAGGACTTACTTCTGACTTTGTACTTAGGGACCACTTCTGGCAGGCTCAGAGGACCCTCTGTGACAAAGGCATGCATCTTATCTGCTATGCTCACTGTCTAACTACATATTTCATTTTGTAAAAATTTTCATTGTTTTTTGGGGTGTGTTTGGGGGGGACACATTTGGGTGTATTCAAGGCTTATTCTTGGTTGTGCCCTCTGGGGTTCCAAGGTTAAAGTTTCCTACCTGCTGTACCATCTCTCCAGCCTCCACATTTCTTTTCTTGACAAAGATTTTACGTTGGGATTTAGCTTTGATGAAGATGAGATTGGTCAATTGAAATTTCTAATTTTAGGAATTAGAAAGATTTATTTTGCAATTGAATTACACTTTAAAATTCTAAATAGAAACCAATGCTTCCACATCTCCAAACATAGCTTCTTCTTATTCTGTCTTTGTGTGTATGCATTCTCGCACATACAACACATGTTTACTTTTTGTTTTTGTAGGTGTATGTCTGTATTATTTCTCAGAATGCTTTCTTTTCTGTTTTTGAGGGCACACCCTGAAACACTCAGGGGTTCCTCCCAGCATGCTGCTTAAGGGTTACCCCTGGTGGTGCCAGGGATTGAATGAGGGCCTCCAGCATGCAAACCATGTCCTCCGGCCCTCTGAACTATCTCCCTGGCCCGACAATGTTATTTTTCAAGCTGTGTTCCCTGGAATTCTATTCATTATTTCAACAGCAGGGTTTCTGCTTTGTATGTTGTTGTTTCATTTGGGACTTCGATAAGAGTCTTCTGCAGAACAAAATAAGAGTTTGAAAATTATAGACTTACTGTATTTGAAACAACCTTTTACTTTTTTAAAAAGAATCAAAATATCAGAATATGAGCTATAATAAAAACCAGAGGGATTTTGATCCTGGCTGTTTTGTAACACAGCAGACCGGCTTCCAGATTTTCCTGGTGGTCTTCGCAATAGGTTTACTGAGTTATCTCTGACTCACTATGCAGGCCGAGGTCTCTGGCATCACTGAGCACCTGACCAATTGCATCCGACCTGATGTTCGTGTTTCTCCAAGTTTCAGTCAGAGCTGTTTGCCCTACAAAAATGATAAACAGATGTCCTATGGATTCCTCTTCCCGCCTTGTAAGTTATGGACTATCAGGATCTGATCATTTTAGAGAGATTGCTACTTGTGTAGTCTAGAATGTAGTACTTTGTATTTAAGATTTTAGTGGTTTTGGGGTTTTCTTCAAATATATAATGCAATGTTAAATCTTTTACGAAGAAAGATGCTCCAAGGAGTAAGTGGATGAACATTTATGGGATCCTTCAAAATTAGGCTAGAACATAGGCCAACTCTTACACATTGTATTCACCAGGAAAATTCTAAAGTACACAGGTTAGCTGAAGCATCATTAAATAATAATGGAAAGTGAAAGAGTAAATCAGTAAGCCATTAATCATTTAAGCTCTTCTACAAAGGTGATACCCTAAGAAAATACAGCACTTTAATGTTTTCTTTTGACCTTGATGGTACACTAAAATCCAAGTTAGTGAAATAAAGGAATTCTTTCATGTAACACTAAGCATATTTAAGACCAAATGAGAAGGAAAAACACTATAAAAATTGTTTTGAGAAAGATCTATTGAGTGAGGGAAAGAAATTGAGTGGGAAGAGAAGGCAGAAATGGTGAATAAATATTGGATGGTAGCTCTATTCACTTCATGCTGTTTGGGCCAGTTAAGTCAATTCTTTTTAGTTGATATTTAGTTGATATTACTATGCTAAGTAATAGATACTATTTTTTTCTTTAATGTATAGATTTGAGTTCTTCACCAGAAGCTAAATATGATGCATTCCTTGTGACCAATATGGTTCCGATGTATCCTGCTTTCAAACGTAAGCTTGATATATATATATATATACATATATACATATACACACATATATGTTTATATATATGTAATTGAATCACCATGAATTACCAGTACAAAGTTATTTATGATTGAAGTTTTTTTTTCTTTTTGGGTCACACCCAGCAATGCTCAGGGGTTACTCCTGGATCTTGCACTCAGGAATTACTCCTGGTGGTTCTTGGGGGACCATATGGGATGCTGGGAATCGAACCCTGGTCGGCCGTGTGTGAGGCAAACGTCCTACCTGCTGTGCTATCACTCCAGCCTATGATTGAGTTTAAAGTGTAAAATATTCCAACACCAATACCTTCATCAGTGTCCCCTTTTATCCACCAATGGCAGTTTTCCCTCCTGCCCCCCCCCCCAACTGGCTCCCCAACAGTCTAGTTCTATGGCAGGCAATTTTTCTTTTATCTTTTCTCCTTTTAAGCACTGTGGTCTGAACTGCTGTTACCAAAAAGTGTACATGCATATCACTTTCCCTCCTCTCATCACCCGGTTCTCATCCAAATTAACTAATTCCCCCCATCCTCACAGTGGCCCTTCCCTATCCTAGCCGCCCTGCCCACACGGTGCAGACTTTCTACAGAGGGCCAGTTCTCCTGCACCTTATTTCTATTGTCTTTGGGTTGGGTAAGCTTCATGTTTTGCTTGGAAATTATTATAAAATTAAATGCTGCTACATTTACCTGTTTATCTTTTCTGTCTTTATCATAATTTTAATAAAAATAACTTCTATGTGTTTAATCCTTATATATTTGAAGGCCTTTAAACTCCCTACTGCTTATCTAAAAGCTAAATTCATGAGTCAAGTAAGCAGGTTTTTTTTTTTAATCCCTTGTTTAAAGTTAAGAAATAGAAGTTCAAAAGAAATTATCCAGGCCATGAATGGAAGAAAAGAAACCAAACCAATTTGTGTTTTCCATCCTAATCTTATGGGCTGGAGCAATAGCACAGTGGGTAGGGTGTTTGCCTTACACTCAGCCAACATGGCTGACCCGAGTTCGATTCCTCTGCCCCTCTCAGAGAGCCCGGCAAGCTACCAAGAGTATCTCGCCCGCACGGCAAAGCCTGGCAAGCTACCCGTGACGTATTCAATATGCCAAACACAGTAACAAGTCTCACAGTGTTACTGGGCCCGCTCAAGCAAATTGACGAACAACGGGAGGACCGTGACCGTGATCCTAATCTTATATTCTTTCTATTTTAATGTTTGCTAGACTAGTGAGAATAAAAGCATAAAAGTAGGCTCCCAGAACCATGCCACTGGACTCTGCGCCAGGCTGTGGAGTGGGTGAGAGCCCTCTCCACATCGGCCTCGCAACACATTATAAGACACTTTCTACCCATTTATACCTCTTGGAGAACCTGGCAAGCTATCGAAAGTATCCTGCCCACACGGGCAGAGCCTGGCAAGCTCCCCATTGTGTATTCGATATGCCAAATACAGTAACGGCAGTAGGTCTCATTCTCTTGACCTTGAAAGAGCCTCCAATTATTGGGAAAAGACGAGTAAGAAGAGGCTGCTAAAATCTCAGGGCTGGGAGGAATAGAGACGTTACTGGTGCCTGCTCGAGTAATTCCACGATCAACTGAATGACAGTGATACAATGGTACAGTGATACTAGACTGGTGACTAAAAAGAGTTTCCTATGTATTTTGGGAGCCCCTTGACATATAGTAGCATTGATATTTATTTATTGAATAAACCATAATAGTTACTTGATCCTGTCTTCCTTTGGAATGGTGCTGATGATATATTCTGAATGTTGACCCTGAGATCCAGAAGCAGCCTGATTGTTTTCTGATCATCAGAATATTTCATTCAAATGGATTTAATCTCTTTGAGTACTCATAATTTCTTTGCACATAACAAATATTTTTGGGTGTTAGGAATGCTGTTAATGTTATAGTCATACTCATCCTGACCCTAAAATTGAGTTCTGGTCCCTGGAGTATGATTACAAGCTGTATGATATTTGAAATGTTATTTATCCTTTTATTTGAAAAATCACAAGAATTGATTACGTGTCCTTTATTGCTTGTATACATAGATTTATTATTAATTTGTATTTAATTGTCCAATTGTCCAATGGCCAAAACAATCTATTTTCTTACTTCTTATCAGAATACATCCATCTGTCCACCTTTCATACACCCACCCCCACACCCACTCACCCATTATTCATGCTTTAAAAGCTAGAGAAAGCACTATATCTTTTGTTTCCCTTTAGTTCATTTACTAAAGGGAATTGAACATTGGAAAACTATAGTGAGCAAACCTATTTACTTTAGGATAGGTATGGAAAGAAACACTGTTGCTCACTTCCTCTTAGAAGCATTGGACTACATTTCAAGATTTTCAGGGCTTAAATAAGACCTCAAAATCCGGAACTGTTGATTGTGGAGTGTCATCTACAGGGGCAGACATTTTCAAATTCACCTTGGTGAAAAGATCAACATAATTTAGAGGGAAAAACGTTATTTGATGCGCTAGTTAGTAAATTGATGTTTATTCAAAGGTAATACCTGTTGGAATGAGTGACAAATATTTCTGATTTGTTCTCAGGTCAACAGAAATGTTTCAAAACCTCGTACATATATACTTGTTATAATATTACACAAAACTCCACTTCATTTCATTTCTGCAAGTTGAGGATTCCAGGATTTCGTTGTTCTTTGTTGATGTCTTTCTAGCAAGTATCAATAAAGGAGATGTAGGATGCCACCAGGATGTTGGCATGCAAAAGTCCTTTCTCAGAAGTTTTGCTGTTCTTCACTGAGGGAATGTTGGTTGTTTTTTTTTTTTACATGCTCCATTTTTGTGAGGGCTGGAGCCATAGCACACCGGTAGGGCGTTCGCCTTACAAGCGGCCAACATGGCCAACCCGAGTTCGATTCCTCCGCCCCTCTCGGAGAGCCCGGCAAGCTACCGAGAGTATTCGAAATGCCAGACACAGTAACAACAAAGTCTCCAATGGAGACGTTACTGGGCCCGCTCGAGCAAATTGACGATCAACGGGAGGGCCTTTACCTTTTACCATTTTTGTGGATTTAGCCTTTTGACTGTTATTTCTTTCCTTCCCTTCCTCCCAATTTGTGTTCTGAAGTTAACACTTGAACTTATCTTTCATTGTCCATATTTTTTTCTAAGTAAATATCCTTGGTTCCTGATTCTGGTAAGCTGCCCTGTTCTCATTTAAAGTAGAATATAAGGAGTCAACAGAACAATTGAAAAGCTATGAGGAAAATGGCCAGAGATTTTTCAGGAAGAGGAGATAAGAGATGAAAATAGCATACTCTTGGCAGTTCCTATGATGAATAGAGGCTGGTTAAGTTGAATCAGACATTTCAGAATGAACTCATTGTTTTGTCTTTCCTGTCTTCTTCTTGTTCTTTTATTCTACCTTTCTCCTCTTCTGTTCTGCTTCTTTGATGCCCTTCTTTTTTTTTTTCCCCTTTATTTTATTTTATTTTTTTTTAAAGTTGTAGATTTACAATTTTTTGTGCTTTGGTTTCAATCATACAATGATCAGATACCCATCCCTCCACCAGTGCCCATCTTCCACCACCATGGATAATATCCCTCCCACCCCCATCCCCCCATCCCCCCTGTCTCTGTGGCAGGGCAATCCCCTGTGTTCTCTCTCTCCTTTTGGGTGTTGTGGTCTGCAAAAGAGGCATTGAGTGGCAAACATGTTCAGTCCATAGTCTACTTTCGACATGCATCTCCCCTCCTGGGAGGATCCTCCAAACACCCTTTATTTGGTGCTCCCTTCTCTATCTGAACTGCCTCTAGGATACCTGGCTGGCCTCTAAGTTATGGAGTAATCCTCCTGGTGCTGATCTCAGCTATTCTTGGGTATTAATCTCATACTTTGTTACTTTATATCCCCCATATGAATGCAATCTTTCTATGTCTATCCCTCTCTTTCTGACTCATTTCGCTTAGCATGATACTTTCCATATTGTACCACTTGTATGTAAATTTCATGACTTCATCTTTTCTAAGAGCTACATAGTACTCCATTGTGTAGATGTACCAAAGTTTCTTTAACCAGTCATCTGTTCTTGGGCATTCAGGTTTCTTCCAGTTTCTGGCTATTGTAAAGAGTGCTGCAATGAACAAACAAGTGCAGATGTCACTTCGACTATACATTTTTGCCTCTCTGGATATATTCCCAGGAGTGGTATTGCTGGGTCAAATGGGAGCTCAATTTCTAATTTTTTGAGAATCGTCCATACTGTTTTCCAGAAGGGCTGAACCAGTGGACATTCCCACCAACAGTGAAGGAGTGTCCCTTTCTCGCCACATCCACGCCAGCATCAGTTGCTTTTGTTCTTTTGAATGTGGGCCAGTCTCTGAGGTGTGAGATGGTATCTCATTGTGGTTTTGATCTGCATCTCCCTGATGATTAATGATGTAGAGCATTTTCTCATGTGCTTTTTTGCCATTCGGATTTCTTCTTTGAGAAAGTTTCTGTTCATTTCATTGCCCCATTTTTGGATGGGGTTGGATGTTTTCTTCTTGTGGAGTTTAACCAGTATTTTGTATATCCTGGATATCAACCCCTTGTCAGATGTGTATTCGGTGAATATCCTTTCCCATTCTGTAGACTGTCTTTGTATTTTGGTCACTGTTTCTTTGGAGGTGCAGAAGCTTCTTAGTTTAAGATAGTCCCATTTATCTATCTCTGTTTTCACTTGCTCGGCCAGTGGCGTGGCATCTTAGAAGATACCATTAGCTTCAATGTCATGGAGGGTTTTGCCAACTTTATCTTCAATGTACCTTATGGTTTCTGGTCTGATGTTGAGGTCTTTAATCCATTTTGATCTTACTTTTGTACATGGTGTTAGGCAGAGTTCTGAGCCTATTTTTTTGCATGTAGCCGTCCAGTGATGCCAACACAATTTATTAAAGAGGCTCTTTGATGCCCTTCTGATTGGCCATAGTATAAGTTGGAGGTAAGGTGGACAAAAAGCTCTTCACCGGACCTGAGAGTACAGCAGGCAAGGCTGCTATATACAGATTGAGCTACAATGAAATCAAAGTTTCTAATAAAGAAGACATGAATCTTTTATGATAGCTCACTGCAGATTGGAATAACTTAGACCAGAGAGGCTGGAGTAGTAGTACTGCAGGAAAGGTGCCTCCTTGAGTCTGACTCACCAAGTCTGATCCCTGACACCACATTAATTCCTGGAGGACGTCCAAGAAGTAATTCCTGAGTGCAGAGACAGGAGTAAGCCCTGAGCACTGCTGGCTGTGCCCCCCAAACAAACAAATAACTTAGACTGGGTTGGACATAGTGAAAATGGTGAGAAGGATAGGTTTTGAATGACTGAGATGCCTAGCTTTTATTTTATTAAACTTTTTATTGTTGTTTAAGTAATGTGGTTACAGTCATATATTTTCTAGTCTGATATATTTTAGAGGTGGTATTGATAGGACTTGATCACATGAAGTAAGGAAAAAAGGTCAGATTGACTCAGAATTTTGAATGAATATCTGGGTGAGTATGGTGCCCTTTAAATAGAATGAAGAAGGTCAGCATTAGAGAAGGAAAAATTTGGGAGGAAAATCAAGAATTCTGTCTGAATAAAAAAAATTTTTTTTTGGCTAGACATAGTTATTAGGTATCCAAACAGACTATGTGCTAGGTGGTTTGAAGCTTGGGTTAGGGCTGGAAAAATTAACTGGTGAGTTGACTGTCTAAGAGATTGTGAAGGAAGCAGACTCAGGCTAAGGTCTTTAAAGTTTCTCACAAATATTATACTTTCTCTTTTGTACATACTCTTTCCCTTCCCTGAATTCTGTTTCCAACTCTTTGCCAAGAAAAGTCCCCTTCATATCTCATGCAATCTCAGTAACCACCTTATCTGCAAATCCTTTTCTGATTGATTGGAGTAGTTTATACACCTAACCAATGTATATTTTATTAATTAATTATTTGGATATTTTTTGCTGGTTCATAAGTGACATATAACAGCTCATGCTTTCAAATGGATCCCTGTCATCCACCATAGTAGATCTATTTTCATTTGACTTGTGACATTTGGGTTACAGAATGCATTCTAGAGAGAACATTGCCAGAGCAAAGAGTTTTATTCATGAAAAATTCACTTTCTTTTCTTTACACAGGGGTCTGGAATTATTTCCAAAGGGTATTGGTGAAGAAATATGCTTCAGAAAGAAATGGAGTTAATGTAATAAGTGGACCCATTTTTGACTATGATTATGATGGATTGCATGACACACAGGAGAAAATCAGACAGTAAGGTTTTCATTTTAACTTTGTAATTTTAAATTCTAGATATCATTCATGACTATTTTTAAAATGTTCATCTGTTAGAAAATAATTATTACCCCTTAAATATTTTGTTCTCTAAGTTTCTTTATGAGTTTTTCAGTTCTTTTGGACCTGTGACTTAAACATGGCATTCATGTTTGAAATGGAATTATGTTTGTGATAAATAAATACATTTTCATTAATGAAATAATATTAAAATTTATTGTTAAAATTTAATATTTCTAAGTAATTTTAATGTTAAAATTTTGGGGTCATTCATTCTTTAAAAACTCCAGTAAGAAGATGATAGTTTTCACATACCTGCATTATTTGATAGATCTTTTAAAATTCCCTGGATATTCAGAGTCAGTACATCTTAGTAGAAAAATGTGTAGAGATGCTAGTTAAATTTTATTTCTATCCCTATCCATGGTCCGATAAAGGATGTAAAAGTCATGCTGCTCATAAGGAATTTAGAGGCTATGGGGAAGGCAATAAGATATAAATAAAACAAATTGGTAATAAGACATAATTTTACATATGAATGAAACAATTGGCAATTAATATATGATGATTTGTGATTCACTAATAAAGAATAAATTGTTGACTATGTAGAAAATTAATATAGCAGAAGCTATCTTACTCTTTTTCTAGTCATGCACACAAGAAATTTTATCTTATATTTTACTGCTGATCATTGTTATAATTTTCAGTTTTCATTATATTGTCAGTTAATTGCAATTTTGAAAACCTTGAAATTAAAACACTAGTAAGGGAAAGGAATTGTGAATTTCTGTATTCTGTTCTACAAATATATATCCATATATCTATATCTGTATCTATATCTATCTATCTATATATACATATCTATATATGTATGTTCATCCCTTGTACTTAGTCCTTTGTATTCCCTTTAGTAAAATGTTCTCTGGGAAACATTGTACCTTGAATGGGTTGTTATTCTCCTACATCCATTATCTCTGGTCTATTTCATATAACTCTGAAAATTATCTTTCTAAAACGTGCATCTCAGTACATCAGTCCTTAGTATAGCACCATTCAATGGAACATTACAGCCCAGACAGTAATGTGAAAACTCCATAATCTTCTATAATTCAGCTTTTAATGATTCTAGCCTTCCATTTCTATTCCTATGATTTATTTATCATGTTCAGCCTCCTAACTCTATACAACATTGTATAACTCTATACCAAGTTGTTTTCTTTGTATTGAATGTCTTTTCCTCTCTATTGCATTGGAAATATTAAATAAATCAGACAGAAAAAGACAATCATCTTATGATTTCACTCATATGTGGTACACAGAGAAGCCAAACAAATGAACTAAATAAACCAAAAATAAACTTGCAGACTTTAAAACCAAATGACTTGTTGCTGGAAGGGAAGCAGGGAGTGAGTGATCCAATTTGGTAAGAGAGTCAATTGTGTAAAGAAGCACAGAATTGGGACTTTAATGGTGAACTTAATCTAGTACTTATGTAGCCATTAATTTATAAAGATGCACACAGAAAATGTATAATTAATAAAGTTTTACTTTATTTTTAATTTTAATTGCATCACAATGAGATACACAGCTACAAAGTTGTATATGATTAGGTTTCAGTCATATAATATTCTAACACTCATCCCTTCACCAATGTACATTTTCCACCATGCCACAAGACTCCCTCCTGCCCCCCACCCCCACCACTCTACCACCCTATGTCAAGGACTTTTCTTTTCTCTCTCTCTCTCTCTCTCTCTCTCTCTCTCTCTTCCTTTCTCTCTCTTTCTCTCTCTCTCTCTCTCACACACACACACACACACTTTCCTCTTTCGGTCATTATGGTTTGCAGTACAGATTAAGGTTTTACTTTAATACAAATTATTTTAAAAGGTATTAATACAAATTATAAAAAATAAAATATAGAAAAAGTTTATGTTTACAGCAGGCTAGAGCTAAGAAGTGAAAAGGGACTGACTTGAATGGGAATTTATTTCAGTTACATAGGCAATTCGCTTTGGTTGCCATTTAAAAAAGAAAGCTAACTGTGAGCTTGTTTTACCTCCCTGTTTCAGGTACGTGGAAGGCAGCTCCATCCCGGTTCCTACCCACTACTATAGTATCATCACCAGCTGCCTGGATTTCACTCAGCCTGCTGATAAGTGTGATGGTCCTCTCTCAGTCTCCTCATTCATCCTTCCTCATCGAGCTGACAATGAGGAGAGCTGCAATGTAAGTTCAGAGTCATATTCCTTTTGAATTTGCTTATAAATACATCTCTTTTGTTTGTATTTTTGGTTTTTGTTTGTTTGGGGGCTACACTGGGCCGTGCTCAGAACTTACTCCTGTCTATGAAGTCAGAGATCCCTCCTGGAGAGGTTCAAGGGACCATATGGGGTGCTGGAGATCAAACCTGGCTTGTTTGTGTGCAAGGAAAATGCCCTACCCTCTGTACTATTGCTCCAACCCCCAAATACATCTACTAATTTGTGACCCCACCATTGAGTTTGGACACACTTATTATAAAATATTTTGGATTAGACAAAGTGAAAAAAGGGCTCAAACCTCAACTCAGCACTCAAGAACTTTGTATTCTACTGGCTTTCTGTTTCAGTGTAAGGGTGGGTATGGATTTGTGCATGTGCATTTTAGCATAGTTCTACGACTGTGTTTGATAAACGATAAAAGTGCCTAAATGTTTTCAGTTTTGCAAAAGATATAATTGTACCAGAAAGAGAAAAGTAGCAAAATGGTTAAAATAAGGTATGGGAAATTATGTTATTTTCTCCATTTTTATGGATTTTTGAAATTTTCCATAGCACCTTTTTTCAAAAGACACACATATAGAGAAAATGTGTACCATACATGTCAGATATTTATTTGCTGCAAGTGATGAGGTATTTATGTAGGTCACCCTGTTCTCAAATGACATAGGTCATTCCAAGTCACTTATTTGTATGGGACAGTGAAGCATTGTGAAAAAGCCACAAGTAGACAGGACTATGCTATGTGCTCTTGGCCTTGTACTGACTCTGCACTCGACAAATCACATCATTACTCTAGGTCTCTTTTGTGATATTGACAGTCCCTTCTACAAGACTGACTTTTGTTTTTTTGAGAAGAATATCTATTGGTTCTCAGCATCAGACTTAGTTTTGGCTCTGCACTCAAAGATCAACTCTTGATGGGGCTTGGGGACAATATGTACTATTGGGGATCAAAACTAGGTTGGTTAAGGGCAAGGCAAATGCCCTACCAACTGTGCTGTCTGTCACTCTGGTCCCTGCAAACCAACTTCTTAAGGAAATCAATGGCAAAAGGAAGAGTTTTTCCTGAGTTCTTATAATCCGATGGTCATTTAGAAAAACTGGGGCTGGAGTGATAGTACAGTAGGTGAGGTGTTTGCCTTGTATGTCAGAAGTAAGTCCTGAGCACCACCAAGTATGTCACAAAAGCAAAACAAAACAAAAAAAAACCCCAAAAATTAAAAATTAAAAAACTGGTGAAGAGATGGGTGTTTGAACATTGTGTGATAGAAACTCAATGAAACATTGTCTGACTGAAACTCAATCATGAACAACTTTGTAACTGTATCTCATAGTGATTCAATTTAAAAATAAACTAAAAATTTTTTTTAATTTTAAAAACAACTCTTTTACTCCTCTAGACATTCAAATAAGTGCACTTATGATAAAAAAAATCAGACTTACTATTGGGAAAATCATGTAAATGAGTTGAATATGAAAAAACTTTTTCTCAAAGTAACTTCATTCTCACTCTGTGGGGGATCCTGACCTATTTGGAGACCTCCTGTGTCGTTAATTATATGGTCAAACTGAGGGTCAGCATCTTTGTGGGGAAAGTTATATTTAGGGTGGTCCTTTCCTGTGAATTGCAAAGATCTTGGTTAGCTGGGGTAGGTGGGCGGGGCCCAGAGGGCTAGAATCCTTCCTCTCCCAGTTTGTAAAGCAAATTCTTCCTGGTTTTTCATCTTGTCCGGGAGAGTCAGGCACCAGTTTCCTGAACCAGCACTCTCAGGCTATATATTTAGCACTGGCACAAGTTCTTACAGGCTCTCTGTCCAGGTCTATGTGGGTTGGAGCTTTCTGAGAAAACCCATTGCAGGTTCCTGGACGTCAGTGGACAGTTCATTGAGAATACACACAATAAAAATTTTGGCAAGGCTGTTTATTTCTGAACGTTCTTGGATCTGGGGTCCCTTCGACTTGTAGAACAATTTGCCAGAGAGCACCATCGCAATCCCAGGGCATTTAGGAATGAACTTGTTTGCACAGGTCTTTCTATCTCATGTCTACTAATGAAAATAGATATTCTCCCCACCATAATTCAGGCTCTCATATCTCATTCCTTCCTCCAAAATGACGGAAAGTTTTCTTTGATTTGTTTGTTTTGGGGCACGCTGTGTTCAGGACTTGCAGCTGGTTCTGCACTTAGGGCTCACTTCTGGCAGGGCTCAGGGGGTCATATACGGTGCCAGGGATCAAATCCAGTTCAGCTGTGTGTGTGTGTGTGTGTTTGTGCGTGTGTGTATATGTGTAAAAGATTTCTTTGTCCCAATAATCTTATGTTTTCAACTTGGACATGAACTAAATTATTTAAAGTGAGCACTTGAGTATCTTTCATTTGGAATGTGTTGTGCCAGTGGAGCACTTCCTGGCAAGTACCAAGGTGGAGATATTTCCTTCCCTCTTTCCAAGATTCGGTTTCCATATTTTCTCTACCCCATTCCCTTTATTACTTCTGTTTTCTACCCTCTTGTGGTGCTGCTGCAGTAAACATTATTATCCATATGAAACAACGAAGAAACTGAGACCAAGAGATGTCAAGTAACTTGACCAAGAGCTTGTAGCTGTAATTCTAACCCAGACTTCTTGGGCTTCAACGTTCCCAGGTGTTACCCCAGGAGCTATTACAAATTGAGTCCTTCATTCAATATCAGCCCTACTGGTACATGATAGTAGGTACCAGTAAGCTTTTCCATGAGACTAGAAATGCCGGCACGTAACTGCAGTGCACACAGACTCTCCATTGAATTTGGGAAGCATCCCAGTTACTGAACATTCCAGAACAATCCAGTTACTCCTACTGTGTGTTCCAACTTGACAGCAGGGGGAAAAAGAAACTAGTTAACTGAATTCTGCAGAAACTTGGTTTTCCTAATTTTGATTTATGTTCTAATGACCTACTGAGACCAGTAAATCCTGAGAACATAAAAAGAATGTTCAAACCTTTGTATTTCTTTGGTACAGCAAATCATTGTTGAATGTTTATAGGCAAGGATGGGTATTTGCAGTGTTTACCAGATTGTGTTGAGGAGTGGCAAGGCCAGAGAGGAATCACACCCTTTGGCTCTTGGGGGGAAAAGTATGTCAGGGTCATTGGTGAACTTGGAAAAAAGCGATACTTTGAAGAACCACTTGTGATTTTTCTTGGTTTCCGTTGCAGAGCTCAGAGGATGAGTCGAGATGGGTAGAAGAACTCATCAAAATGCACACAGCTCGAGTGAGGGACATCGAGCATCTCACTGGTCTGGATTTCTTCCGAAAGACCAGCCGTAGTTATCCAGAAATTCTGTCACTGAAGACGTATCTGCATACGTATGAGAGCGAGATTTAACATTCTGATCACCTGCAGTGCAGTCTTAAAACTGGTGTATATTTTTATATTGTTTTATATTTATTAATTTGAAACCAGGACATTAAAAAAAAGTTAGTATTTTAATCCCAGACCAAATCTGACATATTACGCCTGAAGGACTCCACTGTTTTTCTGTAATGCTTGATTAGATAGTCTTGTGTTCCGAGTAGTGCTTATAATAAATATGCTGCTTGTATCATTAGTGGAAGCTTCTAAAGGGTTCTAAATGTTGCACATTCCATAGCTCACTGAGGAAATGTTGGTTTTCCAGTGCTCAGTTGCCACACTTGGTCCTGTACTGTCACGAAATACTGATTTTGTAAAGTTGCATTCACTTACTGTTAATTATTACAGACATATTTAAGTCTTATAAACAAATCTTAACTATAATAAATCACACATTCAGGTTTCTTTTGGGGGTTTTATTTGTCCTTGATTTCACATATAAATTAAGAGCGTCTGCTTCTGGTGTATTTGCATGAAAGGTGTACATTTCTTATACCAGGTTCTTTTTCTAGTTGGATATTGTTTGCAGAGGCAAAGGGCATCTATAATCCTCATGATAATGGATTAGAGGAGACAGTTTTGGTCCAGATTCTTGGAAAATGAGATGAGCACAAGAAGACAGAAACCTAAAGAGCTCCTGAATACCATCTCTTAGCAGGGCTAAAGAGATATAGAGTGGACAGGACACTTGGCTTGCACATGGCAACCTAGATTTACCCTCTGGAACCCTATGGGCCCCCTTAAACTTGACCTGAAGTGATCTCTGACTGTAGAGCCAGGAGTAAGCCCCAAGTACTTCTGGATGTGACCCCAACACACACACACTCACACACACATTTGAACATACCTGAAAGGGGTTATTCCTGGTTCTGTGTTCAGTGAGCCATATACAGATCTGAGGATCAAATCAAAGGTAAGCATCTTGACCTATGCACAATGTCTGCATCCTCTAGGCAAGACTTTATTTAGTTATTTTTATTTTGAAGCCACACTAGGCAGGTACCCAGGGCTTAATCCTGTCTCTGCACTCAGGAATGGATCCTGGCAGGCTTAGGGGACCATATGTGATGCCAAGGACTAAACTCAGGTCAGCGGCATGTAAGCCAAGTGCTGTACCTGCTGTACTATTTCACTGGCCTTCTAGCCTGTACTTAAAAGAAGAAAAAGAATCTTTCAAACACCCTAACAGTTTTATTGCAATATGTATTGTAAAAGAATTAATATGATGCAGTGCAAATAACTAGGAGGTGGAAAGAGGAGAGTCTTACAGATAAGATTACAGCCAGGACTTGGAGGATGCAAAGAACAAACCTGCAGGAGGATAGGGACAAGAAGGAAGAGGGTGGGAGACAGCATGGATGTGTTCAGGAGGGCTCGGAAAAAAACAGCTGTGCCTGAATGTAGCGCAGGGGTAGAGAGAACAAAGACCAGGCCAGCTGAGATAGATACTTGCCCGTCGAGGTTTTGGATAAGATTCTAAATTCAATGGAAAGCAGAATGATTACAGAGTTTTAAGATTTAAGATTTCAGTTTACTGACATAGACTTGTAATAACAATTCTGCAGGATACTCTTAATAGTATTCATAGAAATACATTTTCCAAGAGTAGGTCTGACTATTAGGTAACTCAGCCTCCTGACAGTAGCATTATATATGGCAAAGGGTCATGATTTTTTTCCTTTTTTTTTAAAATTTTTATTAGTGAGACATCATGAGGTACAGTTGTAGACTTACAAATTTTTGTGCTTGGGTTTCAGTTATACAATGATCGAGTACCCATCCCTCCACCAGTGCCCATTTCCCACCACCACGGATCCCAGTATCCCTCCCACCCCCCATCTCCCCCATCCCACCCTGCCTCTGTGGCAGGGCATTCCTTTTTGTTCTCTCTCTCTCTCTTATTGGGTGTTGTGGTTTGCAAAAGAGGCAATGGGTGACAATGATGTTACGCGAAATGACTCAGAAAGAAAGGGATAGACATAGAAAGATTTTCCTTTTTTTTTCTTTTTTTATTAGTGAAACACCATGAGGTACAGTTCCTTTTTTTTTTTTTAAGGGGGTGGCAAACCTCTTTCTTAGCTATATTTCTGTATCACCTCAAATTGAACTCTTCTCAAAATAACTTACACCTGAGGCTTTGCGGAGAGCAGTTGTAAATTTAATTGAGTATGAATGCTCTATATTTAGCTTTAAGTCAAGACTTTCTTCTCATAAGTAAACTTGGAACCCAAAGGAACATCAACCACCATGTATTTCAGGTAAGTGGTTTTGCTGATAAACACATGTCATTAATTGTGGGATTTTTTTTTTTATGGAAGCCTGTTGAATGGACTGGGCTCAATTAAAATGAGGTCTAGAAGACTATTTAATTTTTTTTAATAAATTAAGACTTTGGTCCATCCATGCTTTCAACAAGCAGGTTGCTAAGAGTCCACTGTATGTTGAGCCTATTCAAGTAAACAGATTCTGAAACTGTCTCTAAAATGAATTCTTTGTAACTCTGGTAAACCAGGAAACCTGCAGCATAATTTCCTCAAGTCAGAAACATTCTGAATGTTTATGTTTGTTTGTTTGGGGACCACACCCAGTGGTCCTTAGGACTAACTCCCGACTGCACTCAGGGATCACTTCTGCCAGGCTTGGGCACCATATGGAGTGCTGGGGATGGAACATGGGTCAGCTACATGCTGCCCTACCTGCTGTACTCTGTACTATCCCTCTGGCCCCGACATTCTGAATTTTTTCAGAAAAGATAAAAAAAAATCTTTGAACAGAGGCTGTGTTTGGTGTCAGTTGGGCTTGCCTGCAGCTTCCAAATTCAGTGTCCGTTATTCCTTGTGGCTGGGAAGAAAGTAACTGTGGATGAGGTCTAGCTGATTCCTCTGGTTTGTATTCTCACTTGAACTTTCTCTGTTGAGTCATTTTGGGACTTTATTTTACCCAGCACAATGATTTGAGACTCATTCAAATTGTTGCATTCTCAGTGTCTCACTGGTAGGGGATGTGAAGCTGGAAGGAATGGGAATTCTCCCACAGCTTTAAAGAGAAGGACTGGATGGACTGCAAGGAACAGGATTCAGATGATTCAGATGCTAGTCTGCAGACTGTGTGAAACAGCAATAAGGAGGGCCCGCCATGAGTGGCAATAGTTCCTGTTTGTATTGGATATCAAGGAAACGCCTGTTCCTGAGGGGCTGGGAGGTTTGGCTTGAATAGAGCTAATGAGGGGACAAAGACCACTAGCAGGAAACTTTCAAAGATGATCGCAACTGAATAAAAAGTTTTGTTGAGGTAAAATTGACTCAATTAAATTTCATATATTTAAAGAAAACATTTGGTAAATTTTGACATACACAGAGACATACTCATGAAACCATCAGCTTAATCAAGATAATGAAAATACCAGTAAGCTAAGTTGTCAGTTATGGACTAAACCAAAGTCTTTAAAAGGAAGATTCCATGTGTGGGAAGGCAGACTGAGTCTAAACCTAGTTGTCCTGTGGACAACGGGTTTGATGTGGTTAAAAGCTGGGGATTTGCATTTACATGAAAAACATAAGACTCAAGTCAAAATTTTCTCCTCTACAAAGTAGTACTACAAATACCTACATCTCAGGGTGACATAAGAATGAAGGTAGGCAGCCTTGACTGAAACAAACCGGTAGGTTTTTCTCCCCATTTTAATCACCACTTTCCACCAAAGAAAACATAATTTTTTAAAAATCATTTTTATGTCTTTGAGGCTTTTTGCGAGATGGGAGTGGGGAGCAGAAGACATCTGAAATTAACCACATGTTGGGAAAAAGCTAAATCTTTTACAGAGGTGAAAAGAAATTGCCTTTAGAAAGTCAAGAAAGAAGCAAGACTGAGTCCGTGATCAGAGGGGAGTCTGAGCTCTGGGCATGCTCTGTACTCCCTTCAACAAGCCAGAAGCCTGGACCTGGGTTACAGGAGCTAAGCAAACCTTAAGGGACCTGACAACAGGCTCTGGGAAGATATTCATGGCAGCTGATTTCCCCTGGTCCCTTTCCATTCTCTGGATTCCCGTGTGGCCCTGGGAGAAACTTAGAAAACACAACAGGGGCTAGAGCAATAGCACAGCGGGTAGGGTGTTTTCCTTGCACGTGGCTGACCTGGGTTCAATTTTCAGCATCCCATATGGTCCCCCAAGCACAGCCAGGAGTAGTTTCTGAGTGCATGAGTATATGAGCCAGGAGTAACCCCAATGCATTGCCGGGTGTGACCCCCACCCCCCCAAACAAAAGAAGAAGAAAAAAAGAAAACACAACAAAAGCTGGATTAAAAACAGCGTCTTCTGGCAGTGCAGGTTATAAATGAAACATGGAATAAGAAAACCTACCAGCTACCTTTGGAAAATGCCTTGCCTCATGTTTGGTACCAATAAATACTGCACAATGATAGTGAACTAGGCCCAAAAGAAAAGACATAATTGTAGAAGGAGCAGCCTGAGAAGTAGGGAGAGAACCAGAAAGTAGCAAGTAGTATTGGAACCAAGGATGAGTTACTTTAAACACAAGGGAAGGAGTCAGTGATGTTAAATGCCACAGAGAAGTTAAGTTGAATGGGAATTTGAAAAGTTTCCACTGAATTTTGCAATGAAGCTGTCATCTGTGACCTTTCTGGAAGCACAGTTAGTGGAGTGGTGTGAAAAATGGCCAAACTGCTCTAGGATGAGGAGAGAATGGAGACCACACTGGTGGCATTGAGTGTAGATTGCCCTTTGAAGAAACAATGACTGAAAGAAAGGGAAGGTATTTAATTCTGTTTAAAAGAAGAGAAAGCTTTTATAGATTGTTGAGAAGATTTGGTGATCCTGGAATGTCTAATGGATAGAGTAACTGAATCTAAAGCTAAAGTTGAAAGGATTTGATACAGGAAGAGTCAGCTGTAACAATGTTCCTTTCAAATGAAGGAATTACTTATTGGGGTACTTGTTATTATAAAACATATGGTGTACATAACACTTGGAAAATGGTGGTCTGCAAGCTAGATACAGAATTCAGATTGCTTTGTTGTGCTACATATTATTTTCAGTAAATCAGATGCCATTTTTTTAAAAAAAAATTAACAAATGTCCTATACAAATCCAGGCTTGTAAGGAAAATTAGTTTACAACTTGAGGTGACAGGACTTATAATAGTATGAATTTCTTTTTAAAAAAATTTTTAAGCTACCTGTGAGATATACAATATACCAAACACAGTAACAACAAGTCTCAAAATGAAGACGTTACTGGGCCCGCTTGAGCAAATCGATAAACGACGGGAGGACGGTGTGACGGTGTGTTTATTTCATAAGGTAGTTCACAATATTTGATTAAATTTAATATTCAAACACCAATCCCACCACCATTTTACCTTTATCACTATCAAATTTGGGATGT